ACCCCACCCCCCTCCCCCATAATGTGCGCCCCTGGTTACAGATGGCAGTGTGACTTATTAGAAATAAAATCTTAATATATAGGTTCCGATCTAACACGTCTAATTTCAGTGAAGATAAGAATCTCTCCACAAACATCTGATTTTTGGGACCCTAGCCTTCAATGATGCCTAATGGCAACATTACTTTTAGGATTTTATAGTAATAATTTGGAGTTCATAATGAATTTGTCTTGTGTTTTTCAGATATTAACGAATGTACACTCGGTACTCACGACTGTCATGCTAATCCAATTGAAGCAACATGTACAAACACACTTGGATCATTCACGTGCGCGTGTAATACTGGTTACACTGGGGACGGTAAAACGTGTACAGGTTTGTACGAGAATTGTTGTTTTTAAGGTCGCTGCATCTTCCAAATTAGTTAACATTATAGTGAGGCGGGTAGTGGGTACTGTAAAAATTGTGCACATAGTGATACAAGCATTAAAATATTATACATAGTTTCATTTTGCAAGCAAATTTCCAGATTTCCAGGATACAGATGCCCGTCGACTGTTTCAGTCACTGCACAGATTATAAAGTATATACCAGATGCATAACTTAATAGAGCTTCGTGTCCTCAAATTCCCCTCGATGTACACATCATGCTCACGCCATGACATTTGCTAAGAAAATAGCGAGCTTAAGCAAGCAACGTTTTTGACAACACGAACAACATGAGTAACGTTAAAAGACTGGGTCAAGATTGTTCATTGTTGATAACGTCAAATTTGCTTCCGGTCAACGTTCGTGTTATCAAAAACATCGCTTGCTTAAGCTCGCTAATGATGCCCAGAAAAACACGAACTTTTGCATTTTATTGCGGCCTCTTTGGATCGAAATTTATGCATCAAACATTCAAGAGCATCATTTGTGGAATTTTAAAGTTGTTAAAAGCAATAGGCCCTTTCAAGGTTTATTCCACCATATTGCCGGGGGTGCAAAAACATTGGGGCGAGCACGCGGCCAGCCATGGCTGCCATATATTTTACTAATGACTGAGCGATAATTTTGTGTGGACATTTTGTTGATTTTCTCATGCTATATTACATGCGATTGTCCATTTTTTTGTATTCTGGCTGATCTGTATGTATTTTGAAACATTTGGTAAAGATTTCAATGGAATGTGATAGGGGGAAGTCGGTGAATATGCTGATTTCTTCGACAACTTTCGGCGGGCTGTTCACAGGCGGCCCAATCTCAGAATGAATGATCAGGTGTTGCGGGTTTTTAACGGTTTTTATAAACAAATTTATAGTCAACCAAAACTATTTTAAAAACATTCTTAAATTAGTCAAATAAATGCATTTTAACAATAAAATATAGTTGACATGATAGTATAATACCTTTACATTCTTTTAATTACTCCATGAGCTCATTTAGAGCGGTTGATGTAACATTTTCTGTGGCCTACATTGTGTGTGCTCGTCTATATATAATATAACAGTAAAAGGCTAATCACTGGCGGCACGACCGCATCGCCTTCAAAGTCAAATATCTCCGCTCAAACTTCTCGTACGCCAAAACAAATTCGATTACATCGTTTCACAAAGATTTCTCTTTCTAAAGAATATGGTTTGATCGTAGTTTGGGCAAATTTAGCGACAAACGGAACCAAAATCTCCTCAAATTCGGATACTGTTCAAAATACTTAGGGCTGCTCGGGCACGATCGTGGACGTGACGTAATCAATACATACTGACAATAACGCCTTACCTGGGGTGAGACAGCATATCAAATTCGACGATAGTTTGTCGCTTTATGCCGTCCCACCCCACGTAAGGAGGTAAGGCGTTATTGTCAGTATGTATTGATTACGTCACGTCCACGATCGTGCCCGAGCAGCCCTAAGTATTTTGAACAGTATCCGAATTTGAGGAGATTTTGGTTCCGTTCGTCGCTAAATTTGCCCAAGCTACGATCAAAGCATATTATTTAGAAAGAGAAATCTTTGTGAAAAGATGTAATCGAACTTGTTTTGGCGTACGAGAAGTTTGAGCGGAGATATTTGACTTTGAAGGCGATGCGGTCGTGCCGCCAGTGATTAGCCTTTTACTGTTATATTATATATAGATGAGCACACACAATGTAGGCCACAGAAAATGTTACATCAACCGCTCTAAATGAGCTCATGGATTAATTAAAAGAATGCAAAGGTATTATACTATCATGTCAACTATATTTTATTGTTAAAATGTATTTATTTGACCAATTTGAGATTGTTTTTAAAATAGTTTTGGTCGACTATTTAAAATTTGTTTATAAAAACCGTTAAAAACCCGCAACACCTGATCATTCATTCTGAGATTGGGCCGCCTGTGACTAGGTTTGTAAACAACAGTAGCACGTGCAGTCTCGCGACTGCCTATTTTTGATGTCTGTACTAAATGGTTCTGTTTAGTTTCAAGTGATTTCTGCAATGCCTGTAATGAGCTGTCCCTACTGTCGACAAAATATGAACTTAGTTCAAATCTGATGGTAGAGCAGAAACAATTCTTCCATTAATATTTTTGTCGGTGGAAGTTACATATTACATTTGGTGATTTGGAAAACACTTAGACTTTTAGTTAAATATTTCCATGTAATTTAAATTAAAACTTCGAGATAAAGGTAAGGAAATACGAAAAATACAATGGACTTACTTTTATGCTTCAAGAGCTGTAACAAACCAATGTAACATAATCAGACAGTTTCAGTTGCAATATTATACAAATCAATTATTATTTTATCTTGTAAACAATCCTGGAACTGTTTTTCTTTACGTACTAGACCACGACATAATTCGTCGCAGGCACTCTAGAAACGATCACGGTTACCATCCTGCATTCTAACCTTTTTCAGCAGAACCTTTCCATTCCGAACGACGACAACGTTTTTATTTATATTTGTATAGTATTTCCATATCTGCATGATTTTGTTTTTCATAGTGTAAATTTGAGTTAATTTAAAAATGCATGACCGATATTTAAGAAGTGAAGCGTGTGTTCTCAATGACGACTAGAGTAAACACAGAATCGTTTTGAAATAGAATTTAAGAAATAATATTCACAGTGTCACGCTCCAGTTAATACGAACCACTCAATGGGCAATTCCAGCTATAGATTCATATAGACTAAATTGTGATCTAGGCAAGAAGAACAAAATCCATCTAGAAAGAGCATGTTAAAATTAGTAAAATTGCAAAGTTTGGATGCGAAATGTTGTAAAATGAGGAAAATAATAGCCCTACGAAATTTGCAAATTTTGTATACCACATTTGGGCTGAAAGTGGTGCAAATTCCCGTGCGCGTACTGACAAATTAATACAAAATTTGCAAATTTCGCAGAGCTATATTTTCCTCATTTTACAACATTTTGCAACCAAACTTTGTAATTTTACTAATTTTAACATGCTCTTTCTAGTTGTGCTGATGGATTTTGTTTTTCTTGCCCAAATCAAAATTTAGTCTGAAGCTGGAATTGCCCATTACGCTAATAATGTGCATGTTTAACTGCAAATTTCGCCAAGTCACGAAAGAATCCCAAACATCTGAAATCGTCGTCGAATGGCTAAATCCTAGCCCTAACAAATTATGCATATGTACATTTATAAAAGCCCCATTTACACTGGCGAAAAAATGGCACGGCACGGATGAAAAATGGCACGGTGCCGTATTTTTTTTGGCACGGCACGACTCGTTTACATTGACATTGTCAAGCAATTTCAACAGCAAATTTGTTTCTCAAGGAAATGGCACGGCACGGGCAATTTTACGCGCCTTCGTTTTTTCGTCCAGTAAACATTAACGAGGTATGCGCATATAAAGTATTTTGTATGCGCAATACAAGCATTCATTGTGTTTATAGATCAGTTATTCAATATGGCGTCTTTTGACCTTGATTTCAACAAATCTCTTTGGCTATTTTTTCTGCAAATAAAGGGAAATCGACAAGCTAATACGCATGATGACAGTATTATACGTAAATCGAACAATAACTTCTTTGACATTCTCTTCAGGAAGTTAGCCAAGAAAAGGAGAGTAAAGTATATATCAACTCTTCTGGCTTACCAATACCGCGAGCGAGGCATCTGGATGAGACTACGCACAGATGCCTGGTTTGTCATGGTTGACATATCTCTGGACGATCAAACATGGTACGCCAACTTTAGAGTTTCAAGGCACACATTTCAGTTTATCCTAGATCAGATTGAAGATGATATTGTTCATGAGAATACAAGGCTTCGCAAAGCAGTTTCTCCGAGATGCAGATTGGCAATGGCTTTGTACTATCTGGCAAGCACTGCTGAATATCGCACAATTGCAAATTTGTTCGGAGTTTCCCCGTCATTTGTTTGTATTTGCGTGAGAGAAGTCTTCCAAGCAATCATTGATAATATGAAATCGTCATTTGTATTTTTCCCCAAGGACGAGGAGCTTGATGCAATTGTCAAAGTGTACAAAGAAAGGTGGGGCTTTCCAATGTGCTGTGGGGCTATAGACGGAACACATATACCGATTATAGCTCCAACTGAAAACCATGCCGACTACGTAAACAGAAAGGGGTATCATAGTATTGTGATGCAAGCGGTAGTTGACAGCAATTATCTTTTCCGAGACATGGTAATTGGTTGGCCTGGAAGTGTGCATGATGCACGTGTTCTTTCCAACTCGCATTTGTATCGGCTTGGCAACGAGGGAAAATTGTTTGTTGGAAACCTATCTGAAAACATCAGTGGAACTCTTGTTAATCCATTAATATTGGGAGATCCTGCCTATCCATTACTGCTCTGGCTGATGAAACCCTATCAACATAGCCCTGATATCACTGCTTCCCAAAAATACTTTAATTATCGACTTAGCAGAGCTAGAATGACAGTTGAAAATACATTTGGGCGATGGAAAGGACGATTTAGGCGGTTTTTAAAGAAAGTGGATATGAATGTCACTAATGTATGCATCACAGTGGCAGCTTCATGTATTTTGCATAATTTGTGCGAAATTTCCCATGAGGAAATTGTCGATGAATGGTTGACAGATGTACAGGCTTCTGCTGCTGCAGATAATGATGAGTATTTAGTGCAAGACTTGCTTGTAACACCCGACGCTTCGGATATTAGAGATGCATTAACTGATTACTTTATGTCAGATGGTGGGGCAAACATGGGTTGTGGTGGTTCATAGTTAATAATAGAGGTACCGTAAGATCCTTGGTATGAGGCAAGAGAAGATGTGCAAGGTTAAATATATATTCTTTCAAGTAATTAATAGTATTTAATTTTGGCAAATGATAATCTGGGGTGGGTTGTTCAAAACCTAGGTTTAAAACAAAACATTCAAACAAACATTATGACAAAATTGACATAAATTTTGAAATTTATTTCACAAATGTTCTGTGAATATATTGGCTGAAATTTCAATTTCACAAGTTTTGAAATAAACAGTGGCACACAAATCAAAACAGTGGGTTACCTTTGAACAACCTGCCCCAGGGTAATATGACTAATAAGTATTTTCTTTTATTTTTGTTATAAAATACTACAGTATACAGTGCAATCAACATTTAACAAATCTTGTTTCGCTCGCTACTCTGATTTAAATAAATTATTACAAAGCCCAGTCGAAGCTCAGATAACAATTCGACTGGGCTTTGTAATAATTTATTTAAACAAGAGTAGCAAGCGAAACATGATTGATATACCTGGTTGCAGAAAACGAACAAACTTTATATTTAACAAATCTGTTATTAGATTCAGTTTATGAAACATATTAATTAAACAGAACTAAACTTCAAAATTATGGCTATGCAGGTTCAGCTTAATATAAGTCAATACACTCAAACTAACAAACATTGTAGAGGAAAACCTATAAATAACTACAGCTCAATTAAATACATGCTGATTAAAGAGGTGTATACACTGAATTATTATCAGCACTAAAGCTGTGGGAGATACTTGTCGAGGAATACGGAAAAGTAGTCTGATCCCATGGCATTTGCTGCACATGCGGAAACTGGATGATGGGGCTTGAGGTTGCCATACTCAATGGTACCATTCCTTGGACACTGCCATGATTATTACTAGTCGTAGGCTTATTTTCCATTAACATTTTAAACATTTTCATTTCATGCTCCATTCCTTGCTGCATTCTCTCATTCTCCAGCTGGGTCTGTTTGAGGCGGAATTCAAGTTCACTCGTATGCCTTGCTTCATCCATTTTCATAAACCTGAAATAATACAAAGCATTTTGCATAATAGTATTGTTTATTACATTTAACAATTATTGCACAGGGGCGAGCTGAATATTACGAAATATCCAGATTATATATTATCAATTTCTTTCTCTGGCTTGTTCATTGGTAGCCTTTTCTGTATCACAGCTCATGGGTGGATTTGGGGGGTTAAGAGGGATTTAACCCCTCCTAGAATCTCTCTAACCCCTCTTATAAAGTGTTCAACCCAATCAAAATTTTGCTTTACCCCTCCTATTTAGTGTGAAAGTCTTTAACCTTAACGCCTAAACCCTGTCGAAGCTCGCTCAGTGGTGCCGCTTGCACCCCACCAGAAATTTTTCTACCCCTCCTTTAAAAAAAATGAAAATCTGCCCTTGTCACAGCTAATAGAATGACATGGCTGTATTAATTTTATAACTTGGGAGCTTGGAATGGTATTGTAAGTGCAATGCATTATGGGAAGAGTATCATTCCTCTTCTGGCTGCTAATGAGGTCGTATTCACCAACTAAGGGATAAGGGCACATCTTATAATCCCATGGCTAATTAGTGACAATAAATGAGGTTAATTTCTTGTCCTAATGAAATGAAGAACATAAAAGAGGCATTATGAGTCTCAGGTTTTTTAAATAAGAAAACTAGGCATAATTATCCCAAATAGTTACCACTCCATTTCCTTTTGTGATGCACTGTCAAATTTTTGGCATACTATTTCAATGCCTTTCTCAAAGTTGCTCTTCTTATGCTTCACAGGCTTTTTTTTTAATTTTATCAGAAGAATCTACAGACAATGCCATAATGAAAATATTTTATTGTGTGTATATACAGTATGACAGAAAGATTTAAATGGCATTTTATATGGCATAAAGTAGAGTATAAAGTAGAATTTACCAGTATGTTTGGACAATTGGCTTCCCCCCTCCTGAGGATCATCTGGTTCTAAAAACATAATTACTGCATTATATCATAGCATTCATTTTTTAAATTAAATTTGAATAGCCATTCTATGACCAGGACTTTTTTGGTTGGAGAACATCTGTTCAGCTTTTGTTATGAATTAGTCTATTAGCATATCCTCTGTATTTCAATAAATTTGTTGTTCTTACCAACAGGTTCAGATACTTGAGCATCGAGGATTGACTTTTCAAATTCATTATCATCGTCCTCTATAAATAAATAATACTTTCAGGATACTTACATCAATATATATATTTTAAACATTTCACTGATTTTGCATGTACTTAAAAATAACAATGCTTAAAATATTGAAATGTGTGAATTACCTTGGTCTGAGTTGTTGGCAACAGGGCATCTGGGACATACAAATGTGTCATCATCTGTATATGCCCTAATGCATCCACTTTTAGATTCATGTACACCAGCTGAAAATAATTCCACATCTGCCTCATACCCGCATTTCTGACAAACGTTATCAAGCATCCTTCCTTCCCCATATTTTCTCTTCAGAGATTCTATAACTATTTATATATAAATATATAAATGTTTTTTATTGGCTTAAACAAACAAAGTATAGCATATTTTGCATTCAACTGCTGAAGAATTTTCTAGTGTTGGGGAGACATTCATGAAAGACATTTAATTGTCTTCTGTAAAGTGTAAGTTGAAATATCTTTCTATACTGTATATCTTTCTATCAAAGTTAACCTCCAGGGTGAGAGAGGTTGGAATTCTCTGCTGACATATTTTTGAATTCTCCTGTGAATTTTCCACCTTGCACACCAGTTATAGTCAAATACAACATGTCACTAATGTCAAATGTTCCCTCATTAATTTAATAGCAAATAATTTCTGGGGGGGGGGGTTGCCTTGCTGTGATTAACATTTAATAATAGGTGCATATTTAAATACCTTCAGTTCTTATTCATAAATTTGTCATTAGAAAGCCCACCCCAAGGAAACATGACCCATCCCCTCCTCATTTGCCTGTCTTAATCCCACATCATTTGACCTATTTTTATAAACAAGTAAACCACCCACCCAAGTCACAAAATTATCAAAATTTGGTAAGTTTGCATTTAATTCAAAACATGGTCGTGGGTCACGGTAATTAAAATACTTACAGTGTGATGGAGAAAAAATGGGAAAATTCAACTATAATATACTAAGTTCTTTGTATGATTGCATGGCGATAAAATATATAACACTTTTTGTTTGTGGAAACACCACGTAAATTTATTACTACAAAAAGTGTTATATAGAAATATACTGTAATATTATATATCACACAAAACCTCAAAGCCAAATGTTAGTGGAGAAAACAAACGTTTAATAGTTATTGAAGCCAAATTTTATTGCTACCTGTTTCTTGTTCCTCTCCACTTTCTATATCTGTATTATCTTCCTTTTCGCCTGCTGATGTGTCGATACAAAATGCAGGACGAACATTTGGTCTGTGACCGATAATTTCGTTCAACGTTTGGAAGAATTTCCAAGGTTTTGCTCGGCCTTTTCCACTTTTCTTTGCAATGTCGACTTCTTTTTTGAAGCGTTGCCTCAGCTTTTTCATCTTATTAACGACGTTTTCGAGTGTGTAGTTAGTGAAACCTTTTTTGTGCAATTCCAACTGCAATGTAGAATATAAAATATTTTATTTTCACGCAACTTTTTTCAATGTATTAAACTCCAAAAACTGACCGTGATTGTTCGATAAGTAGCTCTTATTTCTTTTGATGATTTGCAGTTTTCTAGCGATATTCGAATCTCTTCTTCCTGCCAAATATTCAGTAATGCAATTGTTGAAGTATCGGGCCAAGTTATTCCTCTGTTTGTTCTTTTCTCCGTCTTTTTCCCTTCGTCTTTTTCCGCCATTTTGACGCTCGCAAAGCGCATGCTCACAAAACAACATTTTGGCACGGCACGGCATTTTGCCGTGCCGAGACTACCTATATAGCAGGTCTCGCCACGGGTAAAAAAATGGCACGGGTGCCCAAAATAAAAAAGGCCCGATCTATTTACACTACAAAAACAGACGTGCCGTGCCAAAAAAAATGGCACCCGTGCCATTTTTCACCCGTGCCGTGCCATTTTTTCGCCAGTGTAAATGGGGCTAGAGAAAGTAGGACCATATTTAAATAGGCGATTCACAAGACGTACTTTGGCTAGTTTGGAAAACCTGGAAATTTCAACCATCTTTGATCTAAAATAACCAAGTCAATAAGTTTCGATTTATGGAGAAAAGATGTCATGAGAAAGTTCCATATATTCTAAAAACATATATTGTAACAGCAGAGCAAAAATTTATAATGCGCGCTCAACACAGCACATATGTTGACTGCTTTATATGGCGACATTTCTTGCAATAGACATTTCGCGTCATTTTTGGTTCGATTTTTGAAGTACTCTAACTTTTCTTCATTTTTTGTTCTATGGCTGAAACTTCAGTAAATGTGTGGGGTTGGATAGGTCTACAATATAAATTATATAAAATCGAGGGAAATTGAAGAACTTTCAGTTTTCGTTGCATGCCATATATGGCATGCAACTTTCATATAGCTCTAAATTTCGTGTCGTCGTGTTCAGTGTGCGTACCGGTCGTAAATCACGTGGTAGATTCGTAAAGTTCGAGTGTACGGCAAATACCGAGTTTTTCCGACGAGCATTTTCATGCCGGGCTTTCGTCGAGGAAACGCAAAGAAATACTGATTATTCGCCGAAAATTTACATAATTGAGCGCCTTAGAAAAATTAATCGAGGTAGGTAAAGCTTTAATACTGTTTTTAACTTACGTTGTATTTTGTTATTTGTTATTTGTTGTGATTTTGCAGCCGTTGTGCTCGCACTGATTATTTATCAATTATGAGGCGTTTAATATACTATATCGTGATATCAAAATACGCTATCAAAATACTCGATTTTTATATACTCAAACTGAAACGGAGCCATTGTGCTCGCACTGATTATATTGTGTGCAAAGCTTCAAAACTACAGCACAATAGCCCATTTTGTAAATAACATGAAATAGCAACCATTGTGAAGTACGCATAAGATTCGAGGTCGGGAATCTTCGAGTTAAGCCCTTCGAGTTAAGCCCCTCGAGTTAAGCCCTTTTCGAGTTAAGCCCCGACCACGCCCTGTTTTGCCATGACCGCGCCCTTTTTCAAAAAGGGCTTAACTCGAAGGACGAAACACGATTTGGGTTATTCGAGTTAAGCCCCGGGGCTTAACTCGTAGTTTGACAAAAAAAGTTGTTGCTCGAGTTAAGCCCAGACTTTTGAAGTATGTCAACGAGTGCAAAATTAAATTGTCAAATTTTCAATACAAAAAAGCCAAAGCACAGAAATTTTCCCAAAAGAACTTATATATCGCTAATGTAATACGATTATCAAAAACAAACACAACTATTATCGTATTTTAGGTATACTTTAGGTTTTTCATATTAACTTAATATTAACTTTAACAACAGGTATAAATTACTTTTAGTGGATCGTTTATCCACAACAAAACAACAAAACAATATTTTAATTATAAAGTAAATAGAATCCTAACTCGTTCCTTTTGTTTCAATGTGCACAATATCGACAAATTAACAGTTTTACTGTAACAGAACATATATTAAGAACATGATCGATAATGACAGCACGTAAAAACTAAAGAAAAAGGGAGGAAAGGGAAGGAATTTCGGTATAGAATGATCTGTCTTTGACAACTTGCGCCCAGAGACACGCGCCTCATACGCACATGTACAGTAATATAATTTTATTAGCCAAATGGTTACGAATCACGAATGGTTACATTTGGGTAAACAAATTATCACGGGGAAAAATTGTTATATTTGAGTAAAATACCCAAATGTAACAATTTATCCCCGTAATAATGGCGCTACGTTGACTTGTATTATTAAAAAGGGAATATTTCCTGAGCGATTAGTAATTTTATAAACGAAATGGTGACGTAGCGCCATTATTACGGGGATTAATTGTTACATTTGGGTATTTTACTCAAATGTAACAATTTATCCCCGTGATAATTTGTTTACCCAAATGAAACCATTCGTGATTCATAACCATTTGGCTAGGCGTGAGTCTCTGGGTATAGAATGATCTGTCTTGTCAAAGACAGATCATTCTATACCGAAATTCCTTCCCTTTCCTCCCTTTTTCTTTAGTTTTTACGTGCTGTCATTTTCGATCATTTTCTTAATAGATTAGTTTTGTTCAAGGTGATGGGAGAAGGTTGTACCTTTTTTGTTACAGTAAAACTGTTAATTTGTCGATATTGTGCACATTGAAACAAAAGGAATGAGTTAGGATTCTATCTACTTTATAATTAAAATATTGTTTTGTTGTTTTGTTGTGGATAAACGATCGACTAAAAGTAATTTATACCTGTTGTTAAATTTAATATTAAGTTAATATGAAAAACCTAAAGTATACCTAAAATACGATAATAGTTGTGTTTGTTTTTGATAATCGTATTACATTAGCGATATATAAGTTCTTTTTGGGAAAATTTCTGTGCTTTGGCTTTTTTCTATTGAAAATTTGACAATTTAATATTGCACTCGTTGACATACTTCAAAAGTCGGGGCTTAACTCGAGCAACAACTTTTTTGTCAAACTTCCAGTTAAGCCCCGGGGCTTAACTCGAATAACCCAAATCGTGTTTCGTTCTTCGAGTTAAGCCCTTTTTGAAAAAGTGCGTGGTCTTGGCAAAACAGGGCGTGGTCGGGGCTTAACTCGAAAAGGGCTTAACTCGAGGGGCTTAACTCGAGGGGCTTAACTCGAAGGGCTTAACTCGAAGATTCCCGACCTCATAAGATTCAACATGACATTCAACATGACATTCGATGTAGTGTAAATTAACTCATCTCAATCACTCAAATTTCTATTCTGAGACTCAAAACGTCAAAATGATAAATAATAATCATTTTCAATCTATCATGGTAATTTTTCCTTTAAAAAGTTACAATAAAGCTTAATCTAAAGGAAATAACGTTATTAGTTATAAATTTGTGAAGGAAATCTAACAGTCAATCGCTTTCGATAAAACCTTAACCCACCTTGACCTTGTTAGTGTTATTATTACCGTCGCTTGCAACTAACTATTAACGGTCACTTATAAAAACATTGCCTATTTGCGTTTTTCTGCTGGGGTCTACACCGTAGGCTAATTCGTGTGAGAATCTTAAGTTTTCTTATTTTGACATAATATAATAGCTATTTTTCAATAAATATATTGGTATTAAACTTATTGAATCAATATTTTAAGTTTCACGCCAGTTGTACCAAAGGTTATAAGCGCTAAAGGCTATAGCGCATCATAAGTTTCAGATGGCATGCAACATGTACGCACTGCGTACCTATTTTTCATATCTGCCACACATTTTGTGATTCTTACAGGCAAATAATTCTGTTTGAGAACGCAATAATTGGGCATTTCGCAACCAGGGAAGTCTCAGGGCAGTTTTGGCCTTGTTGTTGGGAAATCCACTAGGCCAGTAGGCCTTCTATTTTTTCGCTTGCGTCCTTCCTCCGCCCCGCCCCCAAATCACCTAGTCCCAGTCTTTTCATGTGAAAAAGTGCTGAATATTAAAAAAATATAAATAAGAATAGAAGGCATAGGTCTAGGCTGCATATAGTGGTCTATATAGTACACCATGTGCGCCATGCGTGGAATGCAGAATGCTACAATTTATCTCTAACATGTTTTTCTTAGGATTGTGGGAGTATACCAGGTGTACTGCGCATCCTCAGTTAAGCTAAATAACACATATGAATTTTAGACGTCATTTATAAACCTCGAGATCGGGCTTTATCGGCGCGTAATGCCGCTCGCCTTCGGCTCGCACCTTTATACGCAACGTTAAACCCCTCTTACTCGGTTTGTAAATATTACAAATGAATAAAAAAATCCAAATTGCTCTTCATGGAGTGCAAATATATATTGTGTATAAGTTGCTATTTAGCAAATTTTCATAAAATCGAGAAAAATGTTGCAGAATATGTGTTCTATGACAGGTTCCCCAAACGCTTCGTAAAATCACACGCTGTCATTGTATTTACTCGCTGGGGCACTCTGTGCCCAGGCGAGTATAGGGGCGCTTTCCATTTAATGACCTGACCGGTCAGACACGAATTTTTGTCTGTGTATCAATGGAAACATCTGGTCGATGTTTCTCAAATATTTAGCGAAATGGACCTTATTCTAATTTTATCTCAATTTTCTGGTCAGATAGGTCCAAAGCCCACATGTTTTGTGTTTCATTCAACAACTTGACCGTTCTGACCGGTCTGGCCGTGTCAATGGAAAGCGCCCTAGGTTTCGGCATGATTAGTGGATCTCCAATCGCCGATAGCCACAAAATAGAATATTAATGAGCTGCCTAATTTTCCCCCCAATTATCCATAAGGCTCCTGCCAATTTTACCCTAATTATCCATAAATAACCCTGCATTTTGAGGAAAATTCGGGAAAATTGAACAATTTTACAAGGAATTTCGACATGGAAACAGCAAGTTCAGCAACCTTCGCAAATCGCAAGTTACGGCTGTTACGTTTGGTTGTGCTGCTTTATATTTCGAGAAGAAACCAACACCGTTCGATAAAGCGTAAGAAATTGTACTTACGGATGTCAAATGTATTACTAAGCACCAGTATTATAGCCATTTATGGCTGTGCTGCTTTATATTTTGAGAAGAAACCAACACCGTTCGATTAAGCGTAAGAAATGTTACTTACGGATGTCAAATGTATTACTAAGCACCAGTATTATAGCGATTTATGGCCTTTGAAAATCAAGCGAAATTGTATTGTTGACAAATCGCTCGCACTACGTTTGTCATGCAGTCCTTGTATTTGTAATGCTTAATGGCGCAATAAGGATAAAAATACCACCGTTCGATTCAGCGTAAGAAATTGTACTCACGGATGTCAAATATATTACTAAACACCAGTATTCTAGCGATTTATGGCCTTTGAAAATCAAGCGAAATATGTCAACAAATCACTCGCAGTACGTTTCATAGTGTATTTGGAACGGCCTAATGGCGCAATAAGGATAAAAATACCACCGTTCGATTCAGCGTTAGAAATTGTACTAATTACGGATATCGAATGTATTACTAAACTAGAAAATACATGCATGCAGAAACCCTCGCCTTGCTGACAAAACCATTGTATTTTCCGAACATGAAGTATCTAAAGACAGTAGTTGTCATGGTAACACGATAATTTTTTAAGAATATTCTTACAAATGAAAAATCGCCAAAACATATCACTTTTAATTACAAAATTATTAATTTCCCAACATATATATGTTAGCTATATTATTATACGTAATATAAGCCTCAATTTAAGGTAAAATTCAACCACAAACGCTTCGCAAAACGTTCTAAAGTCACTAGTGTTCTTTATATAACTAATCTGCCTTTTAAAATGGCTTTATCGATAAACTTTGAGTTTGCAATAAAATGATTTCAAATTCTCGCTTGCAAATAACTTTGCTTTCTTTTTTATTTAAAAAATTCAATATCATAAAAAAGGGAATCAATATTAAAGATACACTAAAATTATATGCTGTCTTGTTTAGTTGTTTCATATACGCAAAGGCCGTCGGGTTTTAAAGCCATTAATCATTATAAAATCAATATTTAAGCAAACTTACCTTCGTTAACGTCGGCTCCCTTCTTTTAGCCGATTCTTTCGCAGTTTCTTTCTGAGAGAGCTTTTGAAATTTACAAAATCTTGCAAAAATGCGAGCAAAAATGAAATATATTTGCAAGAAATTTATCAATCATCAAATCAAGAAATGTTTGCTATTTCGTTGTCGTCATATGCAGTCGTTATAATGCAAACTTTAAATTGTACCAATCAGTGTCCGCTATTCATGACAGTCCGCTATATTTTTGAGGATGACCACCCACCGAAACATCGTTGGTGAGCCACGCCCGCGATGTTTGATGAACTTTAGACTTCGCTAATGCTTTCGTTTCCCCGGGTGTAAATAGCCGGGGGGAATTAGTACCCTCGCACGGCGCTTCGCGCCGTCGCCCGTTGGGATTATAAAAAAATGCAGTACGTTTGATCCTTGATAACTTTGGTATCGTTGGTTTTCTCTTTTTCGGCCGTATACCAGTGGATTCGTCTCACTTCTCTCTTCATTTTGATAGCATTTTGAGCCCAACTTGCGGGGAGGGGTCCCAACTTGCGGGGAGGGGGCCCTGGCATGTTGGAATTGCAAAATTTTTAAAAAATGAAGGATTTTTTCGCTGAAAATTTGGAAACTTGTGGAAAAATGTTGTTTTGCGAAAGATTTTGGGAACTTTTGTTTTAGAAAAATAACGTCGACCTCCTTCCCCCCGTCGCCAATATTGTGCGGAAAAATTTTAGTTTTCCGGAAAATTTTTTTTGGGAGGCCCTGGAATGGAAGGGGGCCCAAATTTTGGAATACACCCCCCCCCCCCAAGCAGAAACCGGTTGGCACGGCCCTGAGCGTATGTTAGTACTGTGTAAGCCTTTCGCGCTCGTATTCGACTTTCCGCTCAGCTCGGGGAAAACCTTAAAACCTTAATTGAAATAGCTTTGTAGCGGTATGTATCATGTACAGTAATGTGCGTATTTGTATAGCGCCCCAGCGAGTTTGAACATTTGAACATTTATTTAATTAAACACGGTAAAATCTTCAGTGTAGAATAAAATACAAAAACTATTAATAAATTTCACACATCACTATATACACACTAATTTCCTAACTAAAATGCACTGTTTTCCAAGATTGCCGTGTGGGGATCCCATTATAATGTCAAGAATTGATTAATTTCATTTTTGAAATGCCTCAATGATTTGGACGTACGTGCAGTTTGAGGAAGCGCATTCCATAAACTTGCTCCACTGTAGCAGAAACTACGCTTCATAAAGTCCGTACGTGGTTTTGGTAAATTTAGCTTCATTTCTGCATTTTTTAAGCTATAATCTGTGCTGCGAAATGTAAACATGTTTTGTAAATACTCTGGCGTTAGCTTATTGATAGTTTTAAACATTAGTATAGACTTGTGCTTTTTCCTACGTAAGGAAAGATTGTCCCAATGCAGTTTCTCTAAGAGAATGCTAGATCTGACATCGTAGTTGGATTTCGTAATCACTCTAACAGCTCTATTCTGCAATTTTTGCATTTTTTCACATAATGTTGCGCCAAATTCGTCCCAAATGGGACTACAGTAATCAAAGTGAGGTTGAATTATAGCGTTGTAAATTTGGATTGCTGTTTCAGTTGATATAAATGGTCTTATTCGCTTAAGAGCACTTATAGCGGAAGAAATCTTTTTACACTTCATATCAATGTGTTTAGACCAAGACAGATTTTTATCAATAATTACACCTAGTGATTTTGCCTCATCAACTTGTTTAATCACATGACCATCCAGGTCAATATTGATATTTTCGTTAGTGTGCGCATGCATACGTTGTCGAGATCCTATTATCATAAATTCTGTCTTGGCGATATTAAGGCTTAATTTGTTCCAACCAGCTTTTCAATTTTTTTAATTCCGAATTAATAACATTTTCTAGTTCGGCGATAGTGTTGGCCGCATAACTAATGTTCGTATCATCAGCAAACATTCTCGGTACTGCTGCACTGAGACAATTAGGAAGGTCGTTAATATACACAAGGAAGAGTAATGGTCCTAAGTTACTTCCCTGTGGTACACCACGTGTAACTGATGCAGATGATGACAAGCAACCTCTAACATTACATTTCTGAGATCGACCGGTCAAATAAGACTGAAACCATTCGAGACTTAATTGATCAATACCGTAAATTCGAAGCTTCCGCAGCAATATCTGATGATCAATAGTATCGAATGCTTTTTTAAGGTCGATAAATATTACTCCATTGAAGAGGCCGTTGCATGTCAATATTAACTGACCAGTTACTAGTGGATTCAAGAAGAGCAGTAAGTGTACTATGTAACGACCTCAAACCGGACTGGCAATGCGTTAACAAGCTGTTAGAACGGAAGTAATTATAAAGTTGCTCAAAGATTAATTTTTCGAAGATTTTGGCTACAGCTGAAATAACTGATATTGGTCGATAGTTATTCGGATCATTCCTTTTCCCTTTCTTAAATATTGGTGTTACTCTAGCCATTTTCCACTCGGATGGAAATATGCCAGTGTTAATTGATCTGGCAAATATATCAGTTAATGATGGTGAGATTATTGCAGCTGCTATTTTTAACAGCTTATTAGGAATGTTGTCGAGACCTGGAGCTTTTCGTTCGTTAATTTTACTCAACAGAATATAAACCATATCAATCGTAGGAGGTCTAATGGAAAATCTCTGCTCAGTTGATTCTAAATAGTCTTCAGGGTTGACGTTAGAAATGGGTATCTCTGAGGCTAGATTCTCACCAATATTTGAGAAGTGATTGTTAAAAGCTTCAGCTATATTTGCAGGTTTTATATTGTTTTTCCGTCTACTTTAATCTCGTTAATGTTACTTGACTTATTACAATTACGCGAGCTTAGTTCGTTAATTAATTTCCATGTTTTTCTTGGATTTGTTTTAGCAGTTTCCAAATTCGTTATAAAATACTCTTGCTTTGCTTTTCTAATTTCGTTATTGGTACGATTTCGAGCAACCCTATATTCTTCGCATAAAGTTTGATCATCGGCCAATGTTGCTTTCCGCTTCAGATAATCTCGTTTATGCATATGTCGTAACAATTGGCTTGTTATCCACGGCGATTTTTTTTTTGCCTGCTCTTTTGGAGCGAGATGGTGCGTGCTTGTCAATGCACTCCATTAATAAACTTTTCCACGTGTCCCACATATCATTAGGATCAGTATTTGTGTTAACATCACACCACCGCTTTTGTTCCAAGTCTCTAAGAAAATTATCTCTATTGAAATTCTTTAAACAACGAGTTTTTGTTATGCGCGTCCCGGTACGTTCTATATTAGTTTTATAAGTCATAAACACAAGTGAATGATCGCTAATAGATATGTGGTTAACGCCGAATTTTATTATTTTTGATGGTACATTTGTGAAACATAGATCAATCAAGGTTTGAGAACAATTAGTAATTCTTGTAGGTTCGTTTATTAGCTGATCCATACCATAAATATCTAGTATGGAATTCAGTTTTACAGCATTGGCCGAGATCGGTTCAGCATAAGATCTATGTTAATGTCACCTAATATACACATCTCTTGATTTTCTGAGTCCAGCTTTCCAATAATATTTTCAAAATCATCTAGATAACTAATTGGAGAGTTTGGTGGTCTATACCATGTGCCAAGAATCAACGATTTTGACCGTGGTTTGGTAATTTCTGTTATAAGACATTCTAAATTTTCGAAATTCAAGTCATCTCGCGTTATATAATTAATATTGGATCGCACAAAAATACAGACACCTCCACCGTTTCGACCATTAATTTTTCGATCTTTCCTAATTATCGCATATCCAGGGATATGGATTTCACTATTCTCAATCGTTGAATCTAATTTAGTTTCGTTAATTGCAAGCACATCTATTTTACCATTATTCATATACACCCTAAGTTCGTCAATGTGAGCTAAAAGGCTATTTATATTTAACGAGGCCATCACTAAGCCACGTCCATAGACGTTATGACCGATAGTTAAAGGTGTATCTTCAGTTTTATCATTATTATCATCTGGCAGCACAGAGATTAGGGATTCCCATCCGGCAATATTTCAAATATTATGATTTATGACATTTAAAAAATTACGAGCTAATTGAGTAGTTCCGTCTCTATTCAAATGCAGACCACTTCGATTTAAATGTTTTTGTGTAATATTTGAGTGGTCTATTAGTGTCCAATTGTGTTGTCGACATAACTTACTTAACGCTAAGTTCACTTCATCAATTTGTTTCCCAAGTCTACTATCATCTGATCTGAATATTAAACTTGATATAATTACCTCCGTTTCCTTTCCATCTGTCTGGTCCACCGATTTAGCTAATTCAACAATTTCCTCTGCACAGGATGTGGGGCTTTCAGATTCTCGTAGACTGTTTGTACCTACGTGTATAATTACTTGGTTGGGTTTCTTTCTCAGAACAGGTTTAATGTAGTCGTACATATCTCTAGTGGTACTACCAGGAAATGTAGATATTTTGACTTTGTTTTCTTTGGACATCCTGTAACCCTTCAGGTTCTTCAACATTGAATCTCCGACAATAGTTACTTTGCGAGATGAGTGTCCAGACTTTTGATTCTTACGATCGCCATTATGCCGTTTACCACCTTGCTTTCCATTCAAACCCCTATTTGGGGTTTGATTGGAAAGAGAACTAGAGGTGGATGTTTGTTGTGGAGACGTGACGTGTTGGGCGGATTGATCATCATTACTGTCTAGTTGGGAATGATCGCTGGGGTCGTGAGTCCATTGTGTATTTCTTGCTTGTGAGCTCTTGTGATTGTGTTCCTGTTCCGGGTCACAACAGCTATTGTTTCCATCCTCGTTAATTAATAATTCAAATCTGTTTGCGGTGCCAATGTCAGTTCTTGTTAATTGCTTAGTTTGCTTGTTATGATACACACCATTGTTATTAGTATTATGCACTTTCTGCCAAACATTATCGTTTTTTCTAGCAGCGGTTTCAGCTACCTCATTCTGACTTGTATGATGATGACAGTATTTGTCCTGGGCAATAAGCCTAGTAGCTAATTGTAGAGAATCTCTTTCTTGACTTGTCTCAAGCAATTTCTGTTCGAGATATACTATATGCTGTTTACTCTCATTTATCTCTTTTAAGTATTTGTCATTCATATCTGCAGCCCTATTGTACATGGAAAGGACCTTCAATATAATCTCGAATGAGTCAATTGACGATTGTAGCTTAGTAATTGTAGATTTCAAAATTTCAATATCTTTAGAGGATTGACTGCATGCGCAATTGCATTCTCGACTAACCCGAGTTAAATGATATTCAGTCGACTCTATTTCATATGTCTGACTAGAATTATCTACCGATATGGTGTTCACAGATTCAAACTCACTTAAATTTAGAGCATATTCATCCTCATCGAGACGTTCACTAAGCGTCTGACTTGGGCTGTTAACTAAAACGATGCTATCATCGTGTATACTTGTACTATTTTGCTCGCTTGACCTTGAAGAATGTTTATCTCCGACGGGTTGCGAAATACTCGCAATCTTTCCGATTAAAAAGTTCTTGATTTTCTTACCTCGGTCGCTTTGAAACAGCAACGATTTCGTGTCGGTATAATACCTGATCAGAACACTTTCAGGATCTTCGCTAAATGCCTTGAGATAACCACCCGGCGATGACCAAGTTCCCTCTATTTGTAGAGTTGTTTCGACAAATAGTTTTAGATCCTCAAAGTTATTAAGCCATTTGAGTTTCCCCTTTTCAAGAGTTAAATCTGGAGGAATAGATAGTGTAATATTTACACTGTTCATCCAATAATCTGTTGTGCTAGTAGAGTTTTTATCCGGCTGTGATCTGCTTGCGTTGTCGGTTGCCATATTGTCAAGGCTTTGAACGACGACAGCGGGTGATTTTAAGTAGCGTTTGGGGAACCTGTCATAAAACACATATTCTGCAACATTTTCGAGTTCCTCGATTTTATGAAAATTCGCTAAATAGCAACTTATATAAAATACGATATAATTATATTTAAAAATTCAAAGTACGTTTACGAAAAATGCATGTGACCAGGAGTGGGCTTCAAAACATTTCACATATTTTCCCTTAAGCGACCAATTTAGCCAAAATGATGTCATTGTCGATGGCAACTCTGTAATGGATGCTGGGGATAACACAGTATTAGGTGTCGTCGTCAGTCAACCAGGAACAGATACTCCAGTAGAAGGCAATGTTGTCAAAGACGCTTTACATCAGACTATTCAAGAAGATGGTCAGACACAAATTTCCAATCTTACCCTTGGAATTGTCAATGTCCCTACAGTTTCAGACAATCAACGTGACAACGCGATCAGTGTTCGTCTAACCGGCAGCCAACGTAGTGAGGTGAGATTTGTGTTCATGAACAAGCGAAAAATTACATCATATAACTTAAATGTATTACTTTTGGGGGAAAGTTAGGGCCTGTTTATATGGATGCCGGGCTGGCCCGCTAAGCGAGACAGCCCGGTAAGCGAGATCTCGCTGTGTAGTTATTTTTATAGTAAAAATCATCGTGCGTTTATATGGACAAGCGGGCTGGCCCAGTTGCCGAGATCTCGCATGAAAGAGGCGAGATCTCGCCTACCGGGATGGAAATTTCTCCATATAAACACTCGGAAGCGGGCTTGCCCGGTTGCTGGGATGAAAGTTCAAAGATACCGCCGCAAGCTATTTTTAACAACTGTCAAAACAATACAATGTAACAAAATTGTCCCGGCAAGCGGGATGAAATTTTCTCATATAAACACAGGAGAAATTCATCCCGCTTGTCGGGCTGTCTCGCTAAACGGGCCAGCCGGGCTTGCATATAAACAGGCCCTTACTTTCGTTTGAATCTTTTTCCTATACCTTGTATTTGACAACGCGACCAGTGTTCGTTTAACCGGCAACCAACCTAGTGAGGTGAGATTTGTGTTCACGAGCAAGCGAAAAATGAATGGACATCATATAACTACCTGTAAATGGATTAAATGTAACTTTTTTGAAGGTAATAAGTTTGTTTTAAATATTGATGCTTTTTTTGGCTGTTTGCTTTTATATAAATTGCTTTAAAAACTGATCGTTGACGTATAATTGTGCATAATGAAAAACACATCATTAGTTTTCACCGAATTATTATTAATTAACTAGAAATACATGCATGCAACAACCCCTCGCCTATATTCTCCAAACATTGTTTCAACATGAAGTATTCATAATTACGCCAACACTGAACGCAGGCTCGCGTTGCTCACGTCATGTTAGTCATGGCAACGCGATTAATTTACACGATAATTGTTTTTTTTAAATTTTTTGTACCAACCTGCAAAAAATAGATGAAACTTTAACACGTTGAAATACAGAACTATCAATTTCTAAAATATATAAAGTAGGTATATTATTTTGGTTTCTATGGGCTTTATTTTAATGTAAAATTCGAAACGAAAATCTACGTATTAAATTTAAAAACGTTTTTAAATGTGAATTGAAATTATAACGGCTTTTTGCCGATATTAATACCTTAGGATTTCTCATACTAAATCAATTCTTATAAATGTTTACGTTTAAAAATTGAAAAAAGGTTTTACAATTTGTTATGTGAAACGATTTTCCAAGCTTTCTTACATGTATTTTATATTTCCCCCTTCTTCACTCCTGGCAAACAGCCATATTTTGAGATCAGTGAGATGACCACCCATACACCCATGAACCACGCCCGCGATATTTGATGAACTTTAGACCAGTGAACTCTCTATATATATATATATATCTGGAACGATAACAGCGAGCGAAAAGTGAAGCCGACAAAAAAATCACGACATAGGTATTCGTCATTGTCTTCGTCATCAACTGTTCAAGAACTTTCTTACAGTATTAAAAATCACTTACATATAAAATTTGTAATTGTTTTGAAAGTTTTTATCACAGTTTTTATATCTTTATTCACTTAACCTGAAGATGGAGTTATACTCCGAAACGTAGTTATTAAAATAATTTTTTACTAAGCCCATATGGTCTAATTTATATTCAAACACACGTACATATTCATTTACATTTTGCTGGCAGGCAAATTCCGATCACACAATAAATTCTTTAAAAAATAACGTACCAGTGTATTGACTAAAAACTATAAAACTGGTAAACTAAAAAACAATTCAAACAATCGCGAAAAATGGCAACGGCAAAGTCACAGTTGCAAGTCAATTTACCTACCTGTGAAATGAAATTTTCTCGCAAGAATATCTCCTTCCTTGTGCATCCAGAACGACAGTACGACACAATATATTTGAAAAAGTGATTCTTTTCTCCACACGGGGAAGTTTTCCTCGACTTTTTTCCGACAGGGAACTCAATGCAGTAAATTTTAGGAGCAAAACAGTTTGCTCCTAAAATGTATTGCATTGAGTTGGCCATGTTTTTAATTTTTTTTTTCGTGATTGCGTTCAAATTTATACTGGCCGTGCAACGGTTTGCAAGAGGGAGAATGAAACTGACGTCCAATCCGCGTAAACCTGACGTTTGAGGGACTGAGACTGACGTCCAATCCGCGTGAAAGACTGGTATCGAGGCTTCATTGTTTTCACAATCAAATGACTGAATGTTATCGTTCCAGATATATATATATATATATAGAGTTCACTACTTTAGACTTCGCTAGTACGTTCCTTTCCCCGGGTGTAAATAGCCGGGCGGAATTAATACCCTCGCCCCGGGCTTACGCCAGGAACGGCGCTCCGAAAATTACACTCGCCATATTTTTAAGAGTTACGTTTTAAACTGAGGGTTTCACTTCGGATGAAGATGGGAGCAATCATATCTAAGGTTGGTGATTCAACTGTTTCATCAAAACAAAAAATCCTGTAAACACAGTACAAAATTTCACTTTTCAGTCGGTTATGAATACATATATGTTATTTACCGGCTGCGAGGCCCGTACTGAAAAAACATTTTTCCGAGGTCTCAGAAGCGGGCCGAGGGACGCTTCTGAGGCCGAGGGAAAATATTTTTTAGTACGGACCGATCTAAACGGTAAATAACGTGTTTATTTTTTTATTTGATAGTTCATGGTTATAATGAATTCCGATAAAATTCCAGTTGCGAAGTACATTTGAGATCAGTTGCGTTTGTTACTTTAGTGCAAGCATGGTGGACAAACTGCTAAAACGACGCGATAAAAGCTGGATAAAAAGCTTTTAGTTTCATTGCAATAGAATGCTTTTCTACTCAACAAGAAAACAGAAGGTAAACAAAGTAAAAATATTTATTTTCCGATTCGTTTTGCAGCATGGACATGCTTGAAAAATGCTTTTTCAACAACATTTATAAAAACAATTTTGCCCGAATAAGCCCAGGAATCGTCTTTAAACTGCCGTTTAAGGTTTTTTTTTTAAATTTTATGTTTAAGGACAAGTTGTAGCCTACGTTGTACTATTATATTTATGCGTATATTTTCGAAGAATAGCTGTATATATGTAGAATATTTGTACCATTAAAACATGTAGCAATGGCAAGTGTTTTTCGATGTTTATATTTGTTTTTTTCGCAGTTTGGTCGGGGAAAAGTGCATTTCGAGCTTGGCACTAAGTCCACTGAAGCCAATTCACTGTATTTTACTGTCTTTAGTATCGATAGGGTAGATTTTTAAACTATTTAGGTAGTATTTTGAGTTTGAAAATTGTCTTCACTCCTCGGTTTTTCGCGAAAAAATAACTCTTTTGGACCACGGTCAAGATATCGTCAAAAGCTGCCCGCTGCTGCAGCCAATCAGATTGCAGGAAATAAAAAATAATACTAGGCATGCACAAATAAAAAAATAAAATGCATTGTTTTCTTTTGTCAAACTAAACAAAAGATTTGTGTATTTCAACGTTGCCATACCCCTGTGCCACATATTGCCGTAACGCAACCGCCATTTCAAAATAACTATGACCCTGGCAAAACACACAAAGCTTTTGTTTAGTTTACAAAACACAAAAGAAAACAATGCATTATATTCATAACCGACTAAAAAATGAAATTTTGTACTGTATATATTTACAGGATTTTTCGTTTTGATGAAACACGCTAACCTTATGATTGCTCCCATCTTCATCCACAGTGAAACCCTTAGTTTAAAAACGTTACTCTAAAAAAACGGCGAGTGTAATTTTTGGAAAAAACGTCGCGTGCATTTAAATTATTGCATTGAAAAAATGTCGCGTGTAATTATTGCATTGAAAAAACGTCGCATGTAATTCTGAAGAAAAAAACGGCGAGTGTAATTTTGAAGGAAAAAAAACCCGAATGTAATGGTAAAAAAACTCGGCGAATGTTTACAGTCATGGCCCTTCTCGGCCATCGTATAGAATCACTCCACATTTATGCACGTTTTCGTCGAGGAAAGGCAAAGAAATATAATTGACTGTTCGCGGAAAATTTACATAATTGAGCGCCTTAGAGAAATTGATCGAGGTAGGTAAAGCTTTGCTGTTTTTAATTTACTTTATATTCTGTTATTTGTTGTGATTTTGGAGCAGTTGTGCTCGCAAATATGATTATTTATCAGGCGTTTATAAACTTAAATATTTATATATCGTGAAAGGCCACGCTTATCAAAATACTCAATTCATATATATATATATACTCAAATTGAAACGGAGTCTTTGTGCTCGCATTGATAATATTGTGTGCAAAGCTTCAAAACTACAGTGCATTTTGTAAATAACATGAAATAGTTGAAACGAAATAGCATTCTACGTCGATAATTTCAATCACAGTTTTAATAATTTTTTTCAATCTATTACAGTAGTTTACCATTTCCACGGGTTTTTATACTTTCAAAACGCTACAATAAAGCTAAATTTGTAGGAAATAACATTATTTCGATATAAAATATAGTAAAGGAAATCGAAATCTAACAGTCAATCGCTTTCGATGAGGGAAGCCTCACATATCGATTTTGTCCATGAGAAACGTCATATGTTCGTTTCTCTGGAGTCCCCCCCCCTGAGAAACGTCACATAGTTATCGATATTTTGTTCTTATAGTACACATAAGCTAATTTTCTACTATTTTCTACGGTCGGCTATTGGCGATGCTTTCGCAAGGAATATGTCATCTTCTGCTGACATATGTTTTTTATTAATATATATGAACTTCAAAATTTCCAACGTTTCTTCAAATTTCTTTTTTTGCCTGAAATATTGACAATTTTAGCGCGTTTTTCTTGAAATTTGAGTGTTTTCAATGCAAGGAAGGCGTAATAATATAAATGTATAGAACAGGTATGGTATTACGAATGTATACACTGGTGTTTGTATCAAGTTGTTTTCTTTTTTATATTCTGCAATGATGATTCCGAAATGTTAAGGCTTTCGAAAAAACCATCGAATTTTTCCATGATGTTTTACAGAGAAACGCCACAGCTGAAACCCCCCACCCCCAAACGAACATATGACGTTTCTCGTGGAAAAAATTGATATGTGAGGCATCCCTAAGACCTTGACCTTGTTTATATTACCGTCGCTTGCAACTAACGATGAACAGTCGCTCATAAGAACATTGCCTATTCGCGTGAGAATTTTAAGTTTTCTTATTTTGACATAATAGTTATTTTTCAATAAATATATTGATATTAAACTTATTGAATCAATATTTTAAGTTTCAGGCCAGTTGTACCAAAAGTTATAAGCGCTAGCGCATCATAAGGTTTCATGGTTTTGATCACAGAGATCATAAATAACACTTTGGGGTACTTTTTTGAAAACGACGTGAAAAATCGAAGCGATCTGAAAACATTTTTTCTAAATATTTAACTGTAAATTAACTTATAATGATTATATTCACAATTATAGTTATACAAATCCCTTATTCACTGCGTAGATTCTCAGATTTGGAAAAGGCAGTACCCCAAAAATGGCGGCGTGCCAAATGTTAATTCTCTCTGTGCAACAGCCGTAAATTATTTTATATTGCAATATCCAGTTATTGCAATATGGTGTTATTTATAATCTCTATGGTTTTGATGGCATGCGACATGTACGCACTGCGTACCTATTTTTTATTATATTAAAATCTTTAAATAAAGAGGAAAGCGGAGTTATTTGTATGCGAGAATTTGAAATAATTTTATTTCAAACTCAAAGGTAAAAAGTAGTATAAGGGTAGAAAGTTGTATAACGATTAAAGGTAGTTTAGTTTTAAGAACATTTTAAAACGTTTTGCGAAGCTTTTGTGGTGGAGTTTCACATTAAATTGAAGCTTATTTTACGTATAATAACCTACCTAACATATCTATTTTCGGAAATTGATAATTTTGTAATTAAAAGTGAGATTTTTAGGGGATTTTTCAATTCTAAAAATATTCTTAATATAATTATCGTGTTCCATGACAACTACTTTGACTACTTCATTTTCGGAAAATATATAATGGTTTTGCCAGCAAGGCGAGCGGTTTCTGCATTCATGTATTTCTAGTTTGTATTGTATATTTGTAGTGGACGCTGCAACAAGATATATCATTCCGAAATAACATGTCTGAAGCAATCGCCCAGTTTTGTGGTCAGAGTGATGCACGATTGGCCTCGTGCAATCTCAGACGGTATGTTAATAATGAAGTATATATTACAATAAAAGGTAATACATGACATCACTATCATGGTTTTACGTATTATAATACCAGGAGTACATATAATGTAATAATAAAAGTGAATAGACGAGGTAGGTTTTTGGTGAAGTATAGATTAACAAATCAGAGCTGACGTTTCGTCCAGCAAATGAAGCTAAAGCATACTAGTGTTAATGAAATTCAAATCAAAACAAATTCTTGGATCGAATCCTCCAAGACGTTATATATATATATAGAAATTACATGGATCATGAATATAATATGATGTAATCGAATGATATAAAGACTGTGCCACTAAAATTAATAAGCTCAACAAGGAGACTAAACATTTAATAGGAAAAATCAGCGATACAAAGTTTGTAAGTCGACGTTTCGATGTCATCATAACACCATTATCAAGACTAAGATAAAAATAAGCTAGTTCACTACGATTTAAATACAGAATTTTGTGTATAGAATACATTATAATAACATTAAATTACCATGTTATAAAAACAAAGTTAATGAGGCATACTAAAATAGTTTGGACTTAATTGAGTCTGACTGTCCGTTCAAACTAGGTTTATATTGTTTAATAAGCAACATTTCATGGATTAGGCAATCAAATTTGTTCTTACACTTGCGAAGGATCGAAAAATTTTTGTTAAGTGCCTCCACACTTTCTCCATGTACGTCTTTAATATGCTTTCCCACGACAGAGCTCGTATGTTCTTCAATCCGTTGATGTAGGTGTCGAGTTGTAAAACCGACCTAACCAGCCTCGCACTGGTCACACTGGAACTTGTAGACAACGCATTGTTTGGACAGTAGAGCTGGCTTCTTTTCGCGTACTCTCAACTCCAATTTAATTTTCTTACTAACAAAGACCTGTCTTAATCGCTTTCCCACTTTATTCGATAAATCAGACAACTGATTCTTCACCATTGTCGCTGATTTCTGATCCTTAAACGGTAAGACAATGTTAATGGCGTCACGGTCGTCAACTTTAGTTTGATGAGGAGCGTTGTCTTGGGAACCAGAGTCTTGAGCCACAAATTCATTTACAACTTTCGAAATAATAGATCTAACCAACGCCTCAGGGTACTTAAGTCGAACAAACAAAAGAAGGAGCCGATCGCATTCTTCTTTAAATAATTGAAGCGATGATGACAACATTTTAGCACGGTGTAACATTGTCTTAATCAGACCTATTTTATATCGATTATCGACTTGACTTTGATAATGAAGTAAAAGGCCCGTGTCCGTGGATTTGCGATAAACACTTGTTGAAAGGCGGTTTCCTTCTTTCGTCAGCATTGTACCGAGAAAGGGAAGCTGACCATTTTCATTTTGAACTTCCATTGTAAATGACAGCGAAGGATGAGCGTTGTTTAAGGCTTGATGGAAACTATGAGCCTCATCCATGTTGGCAACAGCACTTAGTGTATCGTCACCAAAGCGGTTATAGTTCTTTGGCATCTTCCCTTCGTTTTCTAACTTTTCTTCTTTTTAGCACATCATAGCATTTGCCATGAGAGGCCCCAAAGGGGATCCCATGGCAACGCCATCAACCTGTTTGAATAATTGCCCATCAAACTGGAAAAGTTGATCTTTTGTAGCTATTTCTAGCAGCTTGACCAACTGACAAACCACTGATTAACAACAAGTACATGATTAATGATGTCTTTGAGTTTGTTGAAGATATCAAACATAGGCAAATGAGAGAATCAGATATCTTGGTATCCTTTGATGTAACCGCCTTGTTTACCAACGTTCCTGTCGATGAGACAATTAATTATATCGTGAAAAAGGCATTTGCAGACAACTGGTTCAATGATGTTTACAACCTCAATTTGTCTGAAGATCAGTTGGTCAAGCTGCTAGAAATAGCTACAAAAGATCAACTTTTCCAGTTTGATGAGCAATTATTCAAACAGGTTGATGGAATGATGGGGTTACCATGGGATCCCCTTTGGGGCCTCTCGTGGCAAATGCTATGATGTGCTTAATAGAATAAAAGTTAGAAAACGAAGGGAAGATGCCAGAGAACTATAACCGCTTTGTTGACGATACACTAAGTGCTGTTGCCAACATGGATGAGGCTCATAGTTTCCATCAAGCCTTAAACAACGCTCATCCTTCGCTGTCATTTACAATGGAAGTTCAAAATGAAAATGGTCAGCTTCCCTTTCTCGGTACAATGCTGACGAAAGAAGGAAACCGCCTTTCAACAAGTGTTTATCGCAAATCCACGGACACGGCCCTTTTACTTCATTATCAAAGTCAAGTTGATAATCGATATAAAATAGGTCTGATTAAGGCAATGTTACACCGTGCTAAAATGTTGCTATCATCGCTTCAATTATTTAAAGAAGAATGCGATCGGCTCCTTCTTTTGTTTGTTCGAATTAAGTACCCTGAGGCGTTGGTTAGATCTATTATTTCGAAAGTTGTAAATGAATTTGTGGCTCAAGACTCTGGTTCCCAAGACAACGCTCCTCATCAAACTAAAGTTGACGACCGTGACGCCATTAACATTGTCTTACCGTTTAAGGATCAGAAATCAGCGACAATGGTGAAGAATCAGTTGTCTGATTTATCGAATAAAGTGGGGAAGCGATTAAGACCGGTCTTTGTTAGTAAGAAAATTAAATTGGAGTTGAGAGTACGCGAAAAGAAGCCAGCTCTACTGTCCACATTATTAATACTTCCTCCCGTGAGAAACGTTTTGGTGATATCTGGAAAGCTTATAACATTTGTCCAATCCCAAAGTGTAATCCTTGTACTGCTTTTGAGAGTATAAGGCCTATAGCAATTACAAGCATTTTTTCCAAAATACAAGAGAGTTATGCGTTGGAATGGATGTTGGATGATTCCAAAGAGAACATCGGCAGAAGGCAGTTTGGTGGAATCCCTTTTTCATCACCGGTATTGGCATTATTGGAAATGCTCCGCAACTGGTATTCAGCAATGGAAACTCCAGATACAGTGATCCGTGTTATATTTTTAGACTTTACTAAAGCGTTTGATCTCATAGATCACAATATCCTTCTATCCGTTTTGAAAGAGGTGGGTATACGGCCTGCCTTGTTACCCTGGCTAGCGTCGTATCTGTCTCAACGTCAACAAAGAGTTAAATTTGACGGGAAATTGTCTGAGTTTCAATACATCAACGCAGGTGTACCACAAGGGAGCAAGATTGGTCCTTTTTCCTTCATTGCTAAGATTAATCGTCTACTGGATGTTGCAGTTACGGGCAATTCAACAAATACGGAACAAGTTTCAATATTTATACACGATACTACGTTATCGGAAATATTGGATGTAACTAACCGTAAGTCAAATCAACCAATTGGAAACATGGAATTTAATATCCAGAGGATATCAAACTTTTGTGCTGAACAAAGGATGGTATTGAATGTTAAAAAAACAAAAGAAATTATTTTTGATTTTCGTGCCAAGAAAACTACAATAAGAAGTATCAAGCTATATGACTCCCAACTTGAAAGGGTCTCATCTTTCAAATTATTGGGAGTATGGCTTCAGGACAACTTAAAGTGAGATAAAAATACTGAGTTTATCGTAAAGAAAGCAAGGAAGGGGTTGTATTTTCTCAAAGTACTTAAAAAGTATGGAGCACCAACACAGGATTTGCTACAATTTTATTGTAGTGTAATTAGATCAACCTTGGAATATGGAGACGTGTTGTGGCATGGTGGATTAACCAATGCTCAAAGTAATCAAATAGAAAGAATACAGAAAAGAGCTTTCAGAATAATATTACCCGGTATCGATTACTCAGTGGCCTTCAATCGCCTTAAGATGCAAATGCTAAGTGAAAGGACGCGAGACTCATTGTGTTGACTTGATGGCAAATATATCTTCACCCGAGCACCGTATACAAAACTTACTTCCAGATCGTGTTAGAGATACAAGACAAAGAGAAACCAGATCTAATCCCAATATGTATTATAACTTTAAGTTTCGAACAGAGAGATTTGAGAACAGTCCTTTGGTGTACGCTATAAATTGTTATAGTAGTAGTTTAGCGAGATCTTAGTTTTACCAAGTTTTACAAACCTTGATAGTTCAATTATATATTTTTTAATTATCTAACAACTCATATTTCACTTTATATAAGGTATTTTTATAAAGAATATTTTACATAATGTATAATGTAAACTGTAAATATTTCATCTTAAATTTTTAATGTAAGTGCATGGCAATTAAGGCTTTATATGGCCTTCTTCATGTATCAATAATTAATAAAAATAATAATAATAATAATAATAATAATAACAATAAACAATGCGTTCTCTACAAGTTCCAGTGCGACCAGTGCGAGGCTGGTTATGTCGGTTTTACAACTCGACACCTACATCAACGGATTGAAGAACATACGAGCTCTATCGTGGGAAAGCATATTAAAGACGTACATGGAGAAAGTGTGGACGCACTTAACAAAAATTTTTCGATCCTTCGCAAGTGTAAGAACAAATTTGATTGCCTGTTGTTGCTTATTAAACGATATAAACCTAGTTTGAACGGACAGTCAGACTCAATTCAGTCCAAACTATTTTAGTATGCCTCATTAACTTTGTTTTTATAACATGGTAATTTAATTTTATTATAATGTATTCTATACACAAAATTCCGTATTTAAATCTTAGTGAACTAGCTTATTTTTATCTTAGTCTTGATAATGGTGTTATGATGACATCGAAACGTCGACTTCAAAACTTTGTGTCGCTCATTTTTCCTATTAAATGTTTAAGGAGACTAAAGTCGTTTAATTCATTAATTAATCTTGATATTCTTCTGCATGTGTGTCGCGATAGTGGTACTTCCATTGACTAAAGACGTTTTCTGTTAATTATAGAAATCAACTGAACGAGATTAATTTCCAGAATATCGAGATTTTGCCCCATTCTCCCACGCAAGATGCCGACGATTCAGTTCTGTCATTCTTTGTTAGTCTACCAGATGGAGCAACAATGCCCTCAGATATTTTGAACTATATTTACAGTTCATCACCAAATGTCATATCACAACCTACTGTACTAAATACGACTATGAGTCAAAATCCTGTCCTGACAGCTGATCAAACTGAAAACCTTGTACAACTTACAATAAATGGACTCAATCCAACACAGGTATACCGTTTTTTTTATCATCTACGTGTCTACGAAAAATTGCATATGCTAACCAAACAAACCCTGAACTTTATTTAAACTATAGTTACAGGGTTCGGAGTGAGTGTAAACTTTGACAACAACAATAGCGAGTTTTTTACAGTCAAAAACATTACGCAAGCATTCAAAGGACGTTTTTGGCTTTCTTTGACTCAATATAAGTTTAAAAACCGGATAAGTGCATCCACACTCCACAGATCTATTTTTGTTCAAAATATGTAAATTACAAACCCTGAACTTTATTTAAACTATAGTTACAGGGTTAGAAGTGGGGGCAACAGGAATAGCCATCTTCTAGTTGGCGCAAAAGTAGCAGCGTGAGAAAGGCTTGTTTTTAACAAATTGGCGAATCGGAGAGCTTTTTTGATCCGCTAAAAGCACTAATAGTGCATTTAAGATGATAAATGTATGATTTAGCCGGCAAGTGATAGCTTTACCTTCAAGTTTCAGGGTTCGAAACATATGTACCCTAGTACAGATATTTTTTCGTGCGCCATTTTTATTTTTTCGTTCTGGCAAAACTTAAAATTTGATCACTATTCACCGTCAAAATAACAAATTAAATCATATATACCATGGCGTATATTTTCTTTTTACTGTGATATAAAAAATCAAAATTTGAAAAATACAAAAAAGAAAAAAAAGAAAAAATATAAAACAAGATTTACATATTTTTGGTTCAGAAATGTTTATAAATAATTGTTTCGTGATTTAAGCGCATTACGGATGTCGCGCCAGCAACATTGCTTTTGCCAGAGCGTTTCCTGTCCCGGTCTTCTGGATTGTCTATGGTAAAATCAAATGCCGATAGCAACGCTTATGATAATTTATCTATTAATAAGTCCCCCTCTCTAATATGGCCCCTCCTTTTAGATCAAGAAATGTATTAAATTGTAAAGACTCGAAAACGTCAGTTGCGAACGTCTGTTTACTTCTGTCAAATCTTCAGAAAGTTATACAGTTATATTGATCCAGACAGCATTTCTGACGAAATGTTTATCAAACAAGCTGTTGGGAAGTTTGCTTTGAATTTTAGGTTAATTTAGATTTAAGCTAACCAGCTTTCGAACAACTGTGTGTCCAATATTTTGCAATGTGTAATAAATTGCGTTTCTTTGACGCCTCCGCGCCAACCCCCAGTTTGTGGAATGGGTTTTCATGTAGGAGAAATGTACGAGAAGTAATAATTTTTATTATATGCATGGACAATGGTGTTTTACTGGAAACTAAAACACTCGTAGAACTCATATGCGGACCAGAACTCCGGGACCAGATGCGCGTATTTTCCGTACTTTACGCTTGCAAGTGACGTACGAAGTTCGAAAATTTCCCGCCATTTTCATCGTCATTGTTTTGAAAATACAAATGGTCTTTGATTCGTATATAAAACGAAACTAACGTTCGAAATAAAACGAAAACATTTAAAAGACATCTTGAGATAGTAAAATATATTCTAGTATTTATCCTCTATCTCCCCCATTCTTCTGTTTCCTCTTTCGGCTGTAATTCATGCACTATGCTTCCACTTGAAATAAGACTAAGTTGTTACTTGCGGATCTGACAATTAAAATCTTATATTGCATTAGGCCTACATTAAAAAAGGTGAAATATCTTATCAATAAACAAATTATATGTCTTTTAATGGCAGGATGTTAGGTTGGATGTCGAAACTACAATTGCAAACAGATTGAATGCATATTGTCACAATTCGGGGGCTGTAATTTGTCTTACTAATGGGTAGGTTTGTGAAAAGTGTTATTATAAATTTTGTATTAATGCCCTGAGTCAACGAAGATACTAATTTCGCGCCCGCGGCTATATGAAGGTATGGGTGTTTGCGCCCGGGTATAATTATGAAGGTAAGACAATAATCGCGAACAAATGGCAACTGTAATGAAATTAGTTTAAGCCGTTTTTATACCGTTTATTGACTAGAAATACTGAACATGCATGATTTTAAGCCTGCTTCAAATTCAAACTTTTATATGTCGTTTATAGCTACTATTGCAAGAAAGTTCAAGTGTTACATGCCAAAATTGAAGTTAATATAATTATCATGAACATAATTAAAACGCGTTCCAAAGAATTTTGAACAGTTCCAAACTTGTGATTTTTCGCACAGATTGGGGAAAATAAAGAAAAGCCGCAGACTCGTCATTTTTTTAAAGAAATTCGGACAGACACAATTTGATTGTCTGCACAATTTTAAACACCTTTTTTGTATCTGCGAATGCAGATATATTATCTGTTTTGACTCTAATCTCTATGCATACTCATAGTTAATATACTTTATGTCTTAAGTATGGTCTATGGATACAAATAGAGGCGAATATATGCGATATTGCGATTCGAAGTTCCAACCAGACACAGTACTAAAATGCGGTGCGCGCGTACAAATAAAACTTTCGGCGTTTCTAGCCTGCGTAGCAGTCGGTATTCGCGGGCACAAGATATCTCTCGTGCCTGCGAATACCGCCGCACAAGTAAAGTTATATTTAGCACACTACATTCTCCTGTCGACCGCCAGTTGCTCCGTACGTTAGGATCAAAACTGCGTTTTAAAGCCTTCAAAATAAAATATTTTGGACTCAAAATACTAGCAAAATGAGGAGAAAATGAGACGAATCCACTGGCATACGCCCGAAAACGAGAAAACCAACAATTCCGAAGTTATTAAGGATCAAACGGACTGCATTTTTAATTAGTTTAATAATTTTGAGCGATTTGGCAACAATACAATTTCGCTTATTAAAACTGCACATTAAAACCTTCAAAATATAATATTTTGGGATCAAACTACTAACAAAATAAAGAGAAAAGTGAGACGAATCTACTGGTATACGGCCGAAAAAGAGAAAACCAACAAGACGAAAGTTATCAAGGTCAAATGTATTGCATTTTTAGTTAGTTTAATAATTTTGATCTATATGTGAACAATACCATTTCGCTTGTCTTTCAAAGGCCATAAATCGCTAGAATACTGTTGTTTAGTAATACATTTGACATCTGTGAGTAAAATTTCTTACGCTGAATCGAACGGTGGTCGGTGGTATTTTTGTCCTTATTGGGCACATGAAACCAGAGATAAGGCGCAGCAAAAAGTCAATCGTGAGAGTCCGAGATCAATTGGAAAGAAAACTTTCCTCGAAAAAAGGAATTCGGAAAACGTGAAGGATTATTTTGAGCGGCTTGTCTTTCGAAGGCCACAAATCGCTAGAATAGAAGTCAATTTTGAAATCTATTTCCCATCCGTAAATACAAGTTTTCACGCTGATTCGAACAGTGGTATTTTTGTCGTTGTTTGACGCATCAAACCAGAGATAAAGCCCATAGGCGTACCGGGCGGGGGGACGTGCACGTGCAAGGAATTTCTAGTAGGCGATTAAGGCCCGGTTTAGACGGCGAACTTTTCATGCGCCGAATCTAATTGTCGCAGATACGGCAAAATATGGGAAACTGATTTAGACGTTGAACTTAATTGTACCGCACCAAATTCCGAGGACACTATATTGGACATATTTACAATGCAAATATATGATAATCATATTATAATATTAAAAAATAGTTATGCATTAGGTTCGGTGCATGAAAAGCACGGCGTCTAAATCAATGTCGAACCTGTGTCGCATATACGACTTGTCTTGTCGCATCTTCGGGTCATGTCGAAGTTAATCAAAACCTGCCGAACTTAATTGATTTAGACGCCGCTCCAGCGTCGCACTTAATTCTTGCATTAGATTCGGTGCATGAAAAGTTCGCCGTCTAAACCGGGCCTAAGGAAACGTATTCTCTGTTCTGGTTCCATGGATGGAGGCGCCGGGAGAGTTGGTTGACTTGCCCCAAACGACGCGATGACGGCCTGTGACACAGCCGAGACAATTCTCTGCATCGCTTCCTCCGAGAGATCAGGCGGTGTGATGTTCGGCGACGCTGATGGTGTAGCAGCCATGGCAGGCGATGTTTCGACCCTAGCTGCACTGGTTGCAGTTGTAGATGCTGCTGTTGTCCGACGCCGCCGAGAAGAGGCACTATAGGTACTGCTGCTACTTGAGCTCGGCGCTGGACACGTGTACTTGGGCGAGTTGCGGGCATTCTAAAAGGAAAATGTCAGAACGCAGACAGGCAGAATTGGGTTTGGCCAGAGTTTGCTGGTTGCGTCTGGTGAAGCGATTCGTGATATAGTTGTATATTTGTATAGCTATAAATGTATACGCATGCAGTAACACGAAAACGTGAACAAACAACGCAGCGGAATAATCATGGCATACAGCGAAGGTAGCCGCAAAAGATTATCCTTAAGAATTCCTGCAATATCTACCACATTAAACATTGACAAACAAACAAACAAACAAACAAACAAACAAACTAGAACGACAGTATGCCTAGAATAGCCGCATTGCGGATCATTTTTCACTGAATTCAGCTAAATTTGTTATACGTATGAATTCCAGACACCCTATTACGAGGTATATCGGTGTCTGACTTTCAGACACTCGATTCGGTAACCATCTTGCATGATCGTTTATTCTATTTCCAGCGAAATTCTGAAATTCAAACACCCCTATATATTGCACCAGTTATTCTATTGCCCATCCATGTTAACAGACAGTAAAATGAACATTTATATCAGAATATTCAGCGAAAATAGCTAAAAACATTCAAAATAAGTTTTTTTTTTACCAATTCCTTCGATTTTCATTGATTTTGGAGGTATAGCCTGAACACACTCAGCACAAATTATAGAAAAATAACAAAAACGTAAGCCAGAAAAATTGCTGTCAGCAAATATCAAGATTATACATCAATACAATTTAGACACAATTTCGCAGGAAATCGCCTTATTCTTCGAAATTTGGGGCAAAATCACGATGACTTGGCAATTAAACAGCATTTTGGCAGAAAAATGAGAAAATTCCGCAAAATATTGCAAATGATAGTACAAATTCGAAGTTTAGAGCTGTTCAAAAATCTTTGGAACGCGTTTTAAACTTATTTGGTTACAACTGCATGGTATTAGCAACTTCCCTTCAACGTAAACTTATTCCAGTTAATGGTGATATCAAAAAGGGATTTCTTTTATAAAAATATGTTTGGTCATAACATACATGTATTTTTCTATCAGAACCTTCACCAAGAATGATGTTCTTGTCCAAATTGATCCTGCTGCTGGCAATATCAATTTCGTCGTTCTTAATCCCCAGATAGGATCATCAGTTCCAGCCAGTAGTGTACAAAATGCGATCAGTGGAGAGTTTATGTCCGACCTTCTCGGCTTAGCATTTACAGTGCCAGTACCGCAGGAAAATATTGATAACGCAATCAATGTCGTATTGAAAGAGTTCCAAGCAGATCAGGTTATTTTTTCATGTACTTATTATTGCAAGGGCGCCACCATGCAGAGCCTTGGAAATAGTCTTATTAGGATGTTTTACCATGTCCAGATATAGCCTACTAACTGTAAACAGTGTAAAGTCTATTGATGTTGACTAACATTTTGAGCCGTATACTGTAAAGGGCGTGTGTTATTCAAATTTAAAAATGTATGTACCGCCATTAGACGTGGATTCCAATTGATCTGGTCATGCATAACGATTAGCTGAGCTAACTCAATTCTGAAATGCTCGTTCAGTGAAATTCGATTTATATACTAGTCTACGTTAACTGTATATAGATGATATAATTATATTTGCGACTCCTCAGTTGTCGTCAACGTTCGAAATGAAGGGTAATTATTGTAAATTTGTGATTATGTAAGTTCTTTCAGTACAGTGTGATTATTATGATTTAAAACGGCATTATATAGAAAGTGCACGTACAATTCGACAAATTGTACGTACTTCAAATTTTTTATGCATATATATTTATTATAGTTCAAGTATTTACTAATTTGCTATTTATATAGTGGTCTCTCCGAGATGAACTCTTTCGGCGGAACATGGCAGAGGAAATCAAGGCATTCTGTATCATGTCAACGTACCATCGTGATATCTGTAACATTTCAGAGTAAGTCCTTTAAACACAATTTGATTGTATATAGCATGATCGTATTGCAAGATATGTGTCATATGTAGGTTGTAGTCTATAGCGTAAACTTGCTCCAAGTGAGATCAGTTCAAAATTAAGGAAACGTAACTATTCTCATAACAGGCGGGTTAGACTATATGAAGCCAATTCGAAAGAGATTTGGAGCAAGTCTAACGCCTGTATTCTAAAAGCTCACACTCAAGGAGTGGAGGTTCAATCTGAACTTCTTTGAGTGGCAATGATGTTTTTGAATAGCTGAAGAGTTAGTGTTGTAACTTACTCTGTGACTACTCATCCTCCATCTGTTCAATAACTGCACTGACACTCAAGAGAAGCTCAGATTGAACCTCCACTCTTTGAGTATGAGTGTGAGTGAGCTTTCAAAATACAGGCGTAAGGCTAACAAGGTGCATGGCATAATGCCGTCAGGCTACCACTATTTTGGATTTTTCAATATACTGTTAACTGTACAACAGGGTAGATTCCGATAATACTATTTTAAATCAATTATATATTTTTAATCTGAACCGTACTGTATATATTTGACATACATCTGTTTCAATAGACCTTATGCATAATGACGTCATATGGCTTGATGCCCGCGAGGAATGCCGGTCTTAGTACGGGAAATTTTCGATAGTGGCCAGTTTGAATTGTTTTATTTTTCTGGGGCATGACTACTAAGACCAGCATTCGCCGGGTGCATCAAGCCTTGTGACGCCATTATGCATAAGGTCTATTGGTCGAATTTCAGATGACTATTTTTTCATGTTATTATTCGCACAATAATGGAAGTTAACAGAAAATTAAGAGGCGCTAGCTAACGTGCCACCTACCACATCCACGAGCATTCCTGTGGTTTCAGTCATCGATTTTACGGCGTCTAATCCAGCTGTTATTTCGGAGTTGTTTATATCGGCTACATCCAGCCTCGAATCCACCTTCCTTCCCTCAGAATGTCTTGGCACCACCTACAAGTCAATTTACTCTACGTTTACAGGCTACATCAGCTCAGCAATGTGGCCATCCGTCGGCATCTGTCAATTCGCAGTAATTTTCTATTCGCATTACCAGGTCTCGAATTTGAAAAAAATAAAGGCAAGGCTAGTTTGTCCTTGAATGTTACTAAGTTTTTCAGGCCAGTACACAGGGCATCAAGATTCAAGGCCAGTTTGAAAATTTTATTCAGTTGCTATTTTGAAGTTTCCATGAGACAAAAAAAATATACAGAACAGCAACAATATTTAATAAAATGGCAAACAAAACTATGGATATTTTTTTAATACATTATTCAACAGACACGCTGACGGAAAGGTGCATTTAATTACTATTTTAAATTTATTGCCAATTTTACAAATCATACACTTGGTATTCTAAAGCCTAAGACTAAGTACTGTAGTCTGGGGTTGAGGGCAAGCCACTACTGGCCATGGATTTCAGTATATTTCGAGGGCATAGCGGCCAACAAGCAGGGCATCGACTGCCAGTGGCCGCCGTGGCCGCCGCTAAATTCGAGGCCTGCATTACGTAGGTTTCGCATTAGCCTGCGAGCAGGTTCACTGGGAGAAAGGAGAGCCTGCACGGAACCATGCGTTTTATTCATTCATCCCCTTTTCGCATCTGCTAAACGCGAACCAATCAGCGTCGACTGGGATAATAAACAAAGACTGCCAACTGTCAAATTGACGCAGGGCGTGAAATGTTCAACGAAGAAACTCGAATGATCGAAACAGTCCAAAGATCGATAACATTTTTGTATCTGCGAATGCAGATATATTGCTATTGTGCGCGTACCGGAATTTTGTAAGCGTGCTTCTAGCCAATCAGCGACAGCGTATAGATGAAATGACGTAATGATAATAATTTCAAAATGGCGGTTTACTGAAGAATGAAACAAAGGGAAATTTGTGAATTTACAGTTAAAATTAAACATCAAACGCAGTCAAAACAACGTATTTTACTAGTCGGAATATGGCAAAGGTCGAGAGTGTATTTTTGGCAAGCATTTGAAGGGTTTTATTATTTAATACGCAGAGATTCAGCTTCAGATTGGAATATCAATACTTATAGCAACAGTTGCAACCAGTCATAATTATCAACTTGCAGTATATAACTATATATCCTGAACGGGATGCTCCCTTCTTCAATCACCCCGATGTCTGCAACTGATTGTCTTTTCCAAGAACACCAGGTAAGCAATTTATACCCCCCTTCCCCTATCCCATACTATATTGTCTTACAATCAACAACAACCATATATCATAATTTTCAAACGAAGTCCTGTCAGAAATTTTCAAACGAAGTCCTAAACCTTGATGGAGAGTGGATACAGCCTGGAGGGGACAAGAAGCTCTTTTCTTTTGACAACTCAAGTATTGTATGGTGAAAAACTAAAGGTTTGTTGCTGTTTAAAGGTGAGCAATCAATGGCTGTTAAAACGAAAATTTGCGAAGCAATGCTACAAGAATCACTTTACCCACCATCACAAACGCATTCGGGCATATCGCCTGGTGATCGTATGGATGAGATCGAGAGTCTTAGATCTGCCCAGTAATTGAATGGTGAAGCAGTTCAGCTTTTGGTGAATTCTGTTTCGCAGTTCTTTTCTATAATTGCTGAAATTCAAGCAAAAGCAAAACCCTCTACTGACGATTTAAGTAAAAAAAAATACGAAAAAATCACTAGAGGAAAAAATTGAGCAATTTGACTATGCAAATTCCACCAACACCAACACTGATAATCCTATTGTCTTAGAACAATCAGAACAATTAATGGAATCAAATAATGCGAATAGTGATGAATGCACTCCCTTGATAGAAAAAAAACATTAGAAAAGAGTTTAGAGATAAGCGACAATCAAGAAGGCATCTCCACATTAAACGGATTAGTTGACGATGTAACTGATAATAACATGAAAATTTCTTACGCAAAAGCAGCGAAATCACATCTAGATTTAAGAAACCCCTCTAAAACACCTATAAAATCTGCAAAGGAGGAATTGTCGCTTGCTACTAATGCAAAGGAAAATACCCCAAATTCTGAGGGATTAATACACTCTGATGTGCCCGACGGCTTTATTGGAGTTGAACGTAAACGAAATAAATACAAGAAATTTTTCTTATCTGGTATTGCTGAAGGCGTAAAAGAAAGCCAGATATACTCTTATCTCGTTGAAAGAAATATAACCCCTACCATGGTGTATACCTTCCAAAGTAAACGTAAAGGAACAATGTCTGCTAAAATATATATCCCATTAACCACAAGTTCGGTCGTACTAGAAAAAACTTTTGGCCAGAATTTGTATACTGTAAGCCATGGCAACAAAAAGTAGATAAGAGACAAAATACATTGCAGAAAAACGAAGAGACCCTAGTGGGAAACTATATAACTCTAGTATAATGGAGAATGTAATTCCAGTACGTATCTCGTCTAGAAGATGTAAAAAGTCTAGACAAAGACCCCTCTACTCTTATAGAAATCTAAGTCGTGTAAATGTCACTAGACAAGGACCCAGTAAACCAAAACAAATTCCACAGTGTTTGGTGTTGAATGCTAGATCAATAGTGAAGCCTGATGCCTACCCAGCGTTATATGCGGAACTCAAGAGCAACAATATTGATGTTTGCTGTATTTCAGAAACATGGGTAAATCCAACTATAGCCAGTTCCCTAATTTGCCCACCTGAGTTCTGCATCAACAGAAAAGATAGATTAGGTGCCCGTGGTGGTGGAGTGGCAATCCTTTGTAGAAAAGATTGGAGAATGCAAAATATACCAAATATGGATAACCCGTTTGAATGCCTATGGGTAAAAATTACAACTGAAAACTCCAGTTTTAATGTTGCAGCTGTATACCATCCTCCCGACCATAATTATAATGCAGACGATTTAATAGAATTCTTAATGGACTCATGCGAGCAGTTATTATCGGAAAACCCTGATACGAAGATAATTATTACTGGAGATATAAACAGATTGAATATCCGCGACCTACTTAATGAATTATCTTTTGCACAGTTGGTTAGATCATCTGCAAGAGGTAACAATATCTTAGATGTTTTTGTCACAAATGCTCCTCACTACTGGAAGGAAATAAAAGTTAAGAAATGTTTGGTAAGAACTGATCATAATATGATTATTGCATACTCGAGAAACATTATAAAAGCAAAAAGAACAAATTCATTCTTTAGGGATGTGACAGAACATAGAAAATCAAACATGCTAAGAGAACTAAGGAATGTGGACTGGTCCAAGATAACAAAATATGACCAAGCCCCTGACGAGATGATTAAACAACTTTATGAAAGTCTCTGGCCGAGATTTGAGAACAATTTTCCACTGATAAAAGTCCGAACCTCGTCACGCGATCCACCATTCATGTCCCCTCTCGTAAAATATTTGTTGAGAAAAAGGAAGAAAGCTGTAGGCGTAGGTGACGAAGAATCTACAAAATCAAATTAACACACTAATTCGCGCCAATCAACTTAAGAGCGACTGTCTACAAAAATCAAACAAAATGAGAAATATGTGGGAAGGCTCAAAATTTTAAATTCGCTCTACTTTTGAATATAAATTGACTATGGTGAAGTGAGAAACGTTATGTGGTTAGTTTTTAAAAATACTCTTTTGTTTATGAAAAAAGGCAAAAAAATGTTTCAGCTGTGAGGACCGATTTCGCAATCGAAAATGGCCGAAATTGCGTATGTTTACTTAATCCTGGTATCCAAACCCTAAATCCAAATAGCCTTATTATACTTTCTGTTAAAGCTACATCACTCCCTCGTTTATTAATAGTGGTTTTATTGTAATTGAACAACTGAACACATTTGTGCGCAATAAAGAGCGACGGGTATATACTGATTTTTAATGTTTGTCATTGCATGTAAAAAGTGGCCGATTTCTCCATTTGCCATCCTTTCAAATCTTATGGGATTCTGCACAAGCACTATTGGGAAACTGCCCTTTTCAGAAATGTATTATTTATTTTGGGCAAATAAATTCACACGCTTTGAGAAAGAGTTAACTTTGGTTCATTAAATATGCAAAATCACTGTTTCGCGATTGCGTGACTAAACACCCCTTGCAATCTGAAACTCACTTAAAACATCATTGTTCTTTACATTTAGTTTAGAGAATTTGAAGAGGGCATAAATATACATACCTTGAATGCAAAAAGTTCCTTTGAGCTGTTCCACTTTTGGAGTTAGCCCTAACTTAACTACATATTAAACTCAAAGTTCAAGGAGTCCAGCTAACAGAAATCAGCTAACAATGTGACGGATATTAATTAATCATGATAACAATAGCATAACGGCGTGCGGATCGCATTTTTTCGACAATAATCCACATAAAAACAATATTAAAAATACAAGTAATGCATCACAGTGGCATTACTTTCGCCAAATCGACAGGAAGCCCGCCACCTATAATTAAAACATTTGGTGACAAATAGCTTTTTCAATATGTCAGTATAAAAATAAAATAGAATTTCTGTAATATTAACTTTGACTGTTTGTTTCTAAGAATATTAATAATTGTAAATAAAAGTAAATTACAGCAATAAAAAAACCTCAATTCGCAATAATCCACTTAATTGAAAAAAAATATTAAAAAAGAAATGACAACATTACAGTAATACATCGCAGTGGCATTACTTCCGCCAAATCGACAGGAAGCCCGCCACCTATAATGTAAACATTTTTAGCTTTTTCAATATGTCAGTATAAAAAAATAAAATAGAATTTCTGTAATATTAACTTTGACTGTTTGTTTCTAAGAATATTAATAATTGTAAATAAAAGTAAATTACAGCAATAAAAAAACCTCAATTCGCAATAATCCACTTAATAGAAAAAAAATATTAAAAAAGAAATGACAACATTACAGTAATACATCACAGTGGCATTACTTCCGCCAAATCGTTAGGAAGCCCGCCACCTATAATGTAAACATTTAGCTTTTTCGACATGTCAGTATAAAAATAAAATAGAATTTCTGCATCATTAATTTTGACTCTTTGTTTCTAAGAATATCAATAATTGTAAATGGAACACGAATGGAAGTTGTGTGAATTGTTAGCTGATTTCTGATAGATTGGATTCCAAGAACTTTGAGTCGATGTATAATTAGGCGGAGATGTAAACAACCGAACGGTCGACAATATTAAATTCCTGGTATAAACTCCAAAAGTGGAACAGCTCAAAGAAAATTTTTTCATTCAAGGTATGTATATTTATGTTTTCTTCAAATTCTCTAAACTAAAGGCGAAGAACAATGATGTTTTAAGCGAGTTTATTTCAAGGGGTTTTTAGTCATGCAACCGGACCATTCGCGTAATAGACTAAATTTTTATCTAAACAAAAATTACATCACAGCTTCAAAGAGCATCACAAAATTAGTAATATTCCAAAATTTCGTTGCGAAATGTTGTAAAATGCGGATAATATAGCCCTGCGAAGTTTGCAATTTTCAGTCCGATTTTAGATTACAAACGGGAAATTGACAGCCTGTCAATTTCCCGTTTGTAATCTAAAATGACTGAAAATTACAAATTTCGCAAGGCTATATATTATCCGCATTTTACAACATTTCGCCACGAAATTTTGGAATATTACTAATTTTGTGATGCTCTTTCAAGCTGTGATGAAATTTTTGTCTAGTCTTGTTGAGATCAAAATTTAGTCTATTACGCAAATGGTCAATTGCCAAACAGTGATTTTTGCATATTTAATGAACCAAAGTTAACTCTTTCTCGTAGCGCGTGAATTTATTTGCCCAAAATAAATTATACATTTCTGAAAAGAGCAGTTTTCCAATAGTGAAAAGAGAAAAATTCTGCACTTGTTAGCTCTCTGATTGATCCAAATGTTATAAATGCCTACTTTCAAACTATTAACACTGACCCTAATTATTCAGCCCCTCAGTTACTAGAAATTACAGAGGCAATGAGAATTCCGTTTCTTTCTATCGATATTGTCTATAACTTCCTAAGAAAACAGAAGCGTTCATCATCTGGCCCGGACGATCTACCACATTGGTTCTGGAAGACATACGCAGCTGAATTAGCTCCAGCTATAACAACAATATTTAACGTATCTCTAAAAGTTGGAAAAACCGTGAAGTATGGAAGAGAGCGAATATAGTTTTTTTGGGTTTTTTTGCTTTTTATTTTTTTTTTTATTAGTTTTACAATAAGAAATTGAAGGCACAGACAACAGGACTAATAAAGTCCCAAATTAAGTCCTGCCATACATGAAAATACTACGCTATACTATGCTATACTATACTATACTATAAACGGTTATAAAATTAACAAAATACACCGCTAGTTACATATTTACGGTATTACACATAATTACATTCGTACAAAAACTCAGAACATGCACTTCTACGAACAACAGAACGTAAAACAAGAACGACATTTAGAGCAAAACGTTTTCCAAGTCCTAGGCCTATTAACATCAAAACATGCATTAACTTTTTTAGTGTAGTGATTATAGAGTTTAAGTTTCAGTGATTGAATAGAGAGAGACGATTTTATTTCTCCTGGCAGGCTGTTCCAAAGTGGCACTATCCTATTGAAAAATAGGTTTCGGAAAGAAGATGTTCTGCAACGGTTTGGTCGGTATGAATCAGTAGAGCTAAAGCGAGAGTGATGATTAGTAGAATTGACCAGAATATAGTCTTCAAGTGTTAAGTCATAATAACCAGCTTTGCATTTATAAAAAAGTAATATCTTTGATTTCGAACCAGTATGAAATAGGCAGTAGGTTAAGTTTCTTTAAACGGTTGGTGTAAGATGAGTTGAAGTCTTGAAGGATATACTAGCTTGGTTGCTCGTCTTTGGACACTTTCAAGACAAAGAAGGTCCCTAGATGTTGTACCAACACCAAAAGAAAATGTTATCAACTCAAGTTCTGAACTGAGACCTATCTCACTAACAGACATCATAATGAGGTTATTTGAGAGATGTATATACAAAAATGAGATCGAAGATGTTATATATCACTCAATCGATTCTGACCAATACGCATATAAAGTAGGACATAACTCAACGATGGCTTTAATTAAATGTCAACATGCGTGGTTGAAATGGTTGGATAATGGTGTGGAATATGTGAGAGTACTATCATTTGAGTTTGGCAAGGCTTTTGACAGTGTTCCACACGACATACTATTTGGAAAAGTTAAGAAATTGCCTTTTAACCCGTACATCATAAATTAGATGATAGATTTCTTAAAAGATCGCAAACAGAGAGTAACAGTTGATGGCATCACAACCGAGTTCTTGAAAATTAATCGTGGCGTGCCTCAGAGGACTGTTCTAGGCCCGATACTATTTTCAATAATGGCAAATGACATTAAACCAGTCAATCCAATCAATGAACTCTGTAAATTCGCTGATGATATAACAATAGAAGTCCCGGGCTATGATTAGGATGATACAGGTGCAGAAGAGGTAGAAAATATGAAATTATGGTCAGATGAAAATCGAATGGTGCTGAATATGAATAAAACATACGAATTGATTGTTCGTGGGAGAACATCGATACCTCTACCCAGTTGCATTCCGTCCATCAAACGGAAACTTGGCTCAAGATACTTGGAATTACCCTTGAGGAAATACCGGAAAATGGGGACAGACACTTCGAAGAGATGCTTAAAAAAGCGAATGGAAGAATGTACATTTTACGGGTGTGTAAATATTATGGTTTTACAACAAAGCAGTTAGAACTTCTCTTCCAGAGCTTAATGATGTCATTATTCACTTTCGGAATTGAACTTTGGGGAGTAGCATCTTACACTAAATACATTAGTCAGATTGATAAATTTGTAAATCGTGCATACCGTAATGGGTATGTAACAGAGAAATCTAATTTTAGAGAAATAATAAATAAGAGAGACAAGAGGTTATGGAAAAAAAATATTAGATGATGAAAATAATGCACTAAGAGAACTTTTACCCAACAAATTAAATCGAACTTTAAGGCAAAGGGGACATGACTTTCAGCTGCCCTTACTAAGAACTGAAAGATTAAAAAATCTTTTGTAATAGATGTCTTTTCAATTTTATCTGGTGTATGATACATTTTAATAGTTTTTAACAATACTGTAGAATTTTACTAGTTTTATTAAATTATTGATGTAAATAATTAACGTAAAATAGACTATATACTTTATTTTTATAATTCCATGTAAACTCGGACGTGTGTTTCGAGTATTGATTAATAAAGACTATTATTATTATTAATGGATCTTATTTATAGCACACAATGTACAAAACTAAACCTACTATTCTGTTTATTGTTTTTTCTTCCACGACAAAATATTATTGCATTGATCTGGTATGCTGAATTATATCATTCTATTCAAGAACTATATGCATCGATTATACTTCTAATTTCCATACTTGTCATCATTTGTTACTGATGAATGACCTTCAATATATGACCTATTTGATATAAATTTCTTGGCATAAACTGTTGATTTGTGCTCTATCAACCCTGACTATGATATTTTCTAAAATGAAATAGATCAATTATAAACAGCAGAAATGTTGATGTCATGTTTCAAGTATGTTATAAAAAGGCTTTCAAAAATCTGCAAGTCCTAAAAACAGCATTCTAATATTAATTCCACCAAGTTAAGTGCAAGAAGCCATATCATTGAAGTCCACCTTATCACAACTCGCACACCCGATTACCTATATATATATATATATATATATATATATATATATATATATATATATATACATGAACTTACGGTCACAGCTCAACAGCTGACCTCTGTAGCTCAGTTAGTTAGAGCGCTGCACCAGAATCGCTGGGCCGTAGGTTCAATTCATACCGGAGGACCTTGTGCTGCATTTTTCCCAGTCGTTCCTGGTCAGGTCTTAAAGTGTATATATACTCACTTGGATGAGAAACCCTAAGAACAGCATTCTAATGTATACTGGCATGTATGTTGGAAGTTATGGCCGGAATTAGTTTCTGGAAGTTGAATATATATCAACCATTTTATTTTTTTCATCTGACATACTATAAATCTAACCTCATTTAATTAAAGTGCGACTTTGACCAAATTTTCATTTCTGTTTTTTTCCCATGATTGTGAAGATTGCGTATAAAGAAGCTGTCACGCAAAATTTTAGCGTGATATCTCATATTTGGCCTGAGTTATACGACGATGAAGTTCGAATTTTGGCGGCCGCCATTAAAATCCGCCATATTGGAAAGTTCAAGTGTTCGGGAGTCTGTGACGTCATAGTCTCAACACATGCTGGGCGTGCAACATAAAAATATATACGCGACTACAGTAAAACTCAATCATGCCTTCATCGCGTTGTGGTGTACAAGATTGTAGCAATACTTCTGACAAAAACGCGGGTAGATCATTGCATAAGAGCCCAAATGACGAATCTTTGAGAAGAATATCGGTTAGATTTGTGCAAACTAAGCACGCCAGTTTTTATCTGTGCTCGCGGGAAATTCGATTCATGATTTTTTGGACCATTTTTCAACGAATTGTTTTGAGCGTTTATTTCATTTGGATGGTTTGCAACGACGACTCAAACCAGATTCTGTGCCTACTATTTGGAGGAAAGCGCCTGCGCAACTAAGAACATCGAAGAGACAGGCGTAAGGTTTAGTCAAATATGAATATATTTTAGCTACATACATATTTACATAATCTGATAAGTCCAGATCAATTATAAATTCACGCGACAAGTGTTGTTTTCATATTATCGAAAATAGGTTTAAATTTTAAACGAGTTGGGCGAAACTGCAAACAAGACTGATACAAACGAGGATGAACCATCGAGCTGTTTTTTCAAACTCCGTGTAAGCTCGCTGATCAGTGTTCGGGAATGTTGACCATATTTTATTGTAACAACGACACGGTAATGTGAGATGCCTTGAACTGCCCGTAAAATCTCATACCAAACCACGAGCTGTCTGTAGAAAACTGCGCGTAAGGACCTATATATGATATTAAATAAATGTGCGCGAACAATATGTTAATGCTTGTTTACTGAATAACAACATCGGCATACTTCAGGGTTGACAGCAATGGCCACATCCACACACCTTATAAAAAATGCAAAATAGAAGTTCAGGGATGCGTTTTAATTTATTTCTCCGGGAAATAAGAACACAAACTTACCAAGACGATACATCAACATGGCCTTCAAAACGATTTTGTAACATTTTTTCGAGCTGTTCGTCTTCTGCTACAGCTTCGTCGAGCTCGTACTCGGCTATACCTCTTCTGGCGAGGCAAGCGGCTCCAGCAATAGTATCATCAAATGGCAAAAATTCATGTCAGTTTCGCTTGAATTCGCTGTTATATAAACATTCGCTGTTATATGCGGGAGAATCTGTTTCAGACAAATACTCCGAAACGCTACTAGATCGTGACGAAACTGACATTTTAGTTCTTGCAATGTATGCCATTCTCTACGTGTGCTTACTAATTCTACTTGTCCCCTTGCGGTGTGTTGAGACTATGAAGTCAGAAGCCTTTCGTTACAACATAAAATCGATATGGCGGATTTTAATGGCGGACAGTGATTTCGGACATTTCAAATGCTCGTAACTCCGTGGTCGTTAATCATGTTCGCCTGAAATCTTACACAAGCATTTTTGGTGCAATAATAAAGTCATTGCTAGCAAAAAAGGGAATTTTCTCAATGATGAATTTTCGTCACAGTCGCACTTTAAATGTAGGTTAAAAGCCAAGGAAGAGGTTTTTATTAAACTGTAAAGACCGAGGGCCAAAGGCCCGAGGTCTTTACAGTTTAATAAAAACCGATATCCGCGACTTTTAACTTGTTTATATACTCATCAGACGATATTCTTTGTATTTTGGAGGTTTTCTTCATTAAAATTTCAAGCTATATCAATTCAATGAGAGGTCGTTGCAGTTGTGGGACGAAATAACTAGGTGTAATGTGCGCATTAATACGCTTTAAAATGTGGTTAAGCATTCGCAGTATATCATTTCACTTCCCGCAAGCGAAAGAGCAGATATTATTATATAAATTCCCTGCACAAGCAAGTTTGATGGTTGATCCAGCTAGTCCTCGTGCACCGAATGATAAATACTCTACACTTAAATAATGGTGAACGAAGAATTGGTGCAGAAGAACGAGGAATGGATATAGAAGTTGGTGAAGAAGAAGGAAGAGTTGGTGATGAAGTAAGGAAGGTTGGAGACGAAGAAGGAGGACCTGGCGGTGAAGAGCGAAACCCTGGCGGTGAAGGGCAAAGGCAAAGTCCTGGGGAGACGAAAACAAAAATTCCTGGCGGTGACGAAAGCGCAGCTGAGGGTGGCGAACAGAGCCAGGAAATTGTGATTGAAAGAGCGGGTGAAGAAATGCAAACGGCTGGAAGATCGTGGGCAGATATTGTTGGTTCGCAGAATTTAAGTCAAGGAGCTGTACCGTCACCACGTGCTCGGTTTGGAGCTAGGGTTGCTAGACCCAACTCTGTTGTGTTGCATACACAAGCGTTCAAGGATATTACAGTGCGTGAGGTCATGGATGCCGTTTTAAAATGTGTGAGACAAGATACAATTAAATGTGTGCAACAAGTTCCTGGACCTCGGTATCGTTTGACTTTTCGCTCGTTGGAATATAAACAATTATTTTTAGATCGGCCGTTTCATTTGCGGGGTGAACGAGTTATTGCTCAAGAGCTTGATATGCCCACGTTACTGGTTAAAGTTTTGTGTGCCCCTAATGAATTTTCTAATCAAACGATAGCTGCAACGTGCCAGAAGTATGGCAAAATAGTGAAGGTGGATCGGGAAATGTATCGTGAAATGTATCGTGATTGGCCTAATGAGGGGATTCCCCGTCGTCTCTTTATTGGTCCTTATCCGATAGAAACTAGATGTCGTGGGCAAGTGCCTTTATGTGGCAGATGTGGCGAATATGGACATCGTGTTGCTACGTGTTCAAATGATGTAAAGTGTTTCAAGTGTGGTCAAAATGGTCATATACAACGTCAGTGTTTCAAGTTTCAAGCTTGATATGCCCACGTTACTGGTTAAAGTTTTGTGTGCCCCTAATGAATTTTCTAATCAAACGATAGCTGCAACGTGCCAGAAGTATGGCAAAATAGTGAAGGTGGATCGGGAAATGTATCGTGAAATGTATCGTGATTGGCCTAATGAGGGGATTCCCCGTCGTCTCTTTATTGGTCCTTATCCGATAGAAACTAGATGTCGTGGGCAAGTGCCTTTATGTGGCAGATGTGGCGAATATGGACATCGTGTTGCTACGTGTTCAAATGATGTAAAGTGTTTCAAGTGTGGTCAAAATGGTCATATACAACGTCAGTGTTTCAAGTTTCAAGCTTGATATGCCCACGTTACTGGTTAAAGTTTTGTGTGCCCCTAATGAATTTTCTAATCAAACGATAGCTGCAACGTGCCAGAAGTATGGCAAAATAGTGAAGGTGGATCGGGAAATGTATCGTGAAATGTATCGTGATTGGCCTAATGAGGGGATTCCCCGTCGTCTCTTTATTGGTCCTTATCCGATAGAAACTAGATGTCGTGGGCAAGTGCCTTTATGTGGCAGATGTGGCGAATATGGACATCGTGTTGCTACGTGTTCAAATGATGTAAAGTGTTTCAAGTGTGGTCAAAATGGTCATATACAACGTCAGTGTTTCAAGTTTCAAGCTTGATATGCCCACGTTACTGGTTAAAGTTTTGTGTGCCCCTAATGAATTTTCTAATCAAACGATAGCTGCAACGTGCCAGAAGTATGGCAAAATAGTGAAGGTGGATCGGGAAATGTATCGTGAAATGTATCGTGATTGGCCTAATGAGGGGATTCCCCGTCGTCTCTTTATTGGTCCTTATCCGATAGAAACTAGATGTCGTGGGCAAGTGCCTTTATGTGGCAGATGTGGCGAATATGGACATCGTGTTGCTACGTGTTCAAATGATGTAAAGTGTTTCAAGTGTGGTCAAAATGGTCATATACAACGTCAATGTTTCAAGTGTTTTCTATGTGGCCAGTTTGGGCATGTCAGGGCAAATTGTCTAGAGAATCGACGTGACGTGTCCAATGACAGAGATGATGAAACGTCGGAAAGTAATTTGAGTAGCGATATCGGTCGTGATGAAGACGGTTGTGAAGTCTCCTGGTCGAGCAATGAAGATATGGACCCTGTGGAATCGACATGTTGTAAGGATCCAGCTGGCATCAGAGATGAAATTATGAACGGGATATACAATGATGCCAGCCAACATCACCCAACAGAACAAGGATCTGTCCAAACAGTCGAGAACAACAAAAGAAAAGCAGAAGAGGACGTTTCCATACCTGACGAAGGTGTTAAGGTTCCTGAAGACTCCACTGACCAACGTGTCAGTGATATAGGAGGCTCACCTGAAGAACAGAAAAATAGACCGATAAGGGGAAAAAGAAGAAGAAGAAAAAACATAATAAAAATTAAGGGTCAATGGCGGAAATGAGTGTGGTATCTTTAAATATTAATGGCCTTAGAGATCATCGGAAGCGTCGTCTGCTCTTTGACTTTTTAAACTATGAAAAATTTGATGTTATATTTCTTCAAGAAACGCATATTGCAACCGTTGAAGATTGTGTAAAATAGAACAAGGAGTCGGGACTGAAAGGGCATTGGAGTCTTGGCTTGTCAAATAGTTGTGGTGTTGGTATATTACTCCGTGATCCCGACAGATTCAAACACTGTACTTTTCGTTGTGATGCTGCTGGACGTATCATTTCTTTGGACTGTACATCCAATAGTCAGGACTTGCGGTTTATTAATATATATGCCCCTACTGACTGGACTCAGCGCATAGAATTTTTTCAAAGTCTTGATACACATTTTGTCTCTCGTAGACGGTTAATTATTGGAGGTGATTTTAATTGCATGTTAGATTTGGAGAAAGATAAATATGCCAGAAATCCAGCCTCAGGAGATATTGGTGCTTTACATCTAAATAAACTAATACAGCGATTTGATTTAGTTGACATTTGGCGTAAACAGCACGCAACTGATCGTCAATTTACGTGGCAAACTAAACGTGGTAGCATTAAATGGACAGATTTTATTTTTCTTCATCGCTTGTAAGGGATTATGACATCGAAACAGACATAATGATATATCCATATTCGGATCATGATCTTGTTCGGGTCTTGTTAACGGTTGACAAAGCTAGTAGTAATGTTGGCCCAGGTGTGTGGAAGTTAAATGTCTCATTATTAGAAGTGCAAGAAGTTCGTGAGCAAATTGCTTCATTTTGGGAACATTGGAAAGATCGGAAAAGTGATTTTGGTAATGTAGCAGAATGGTGGGATTCTGGCAAGTTAAGAGTTAAATCTCTTCTTCTCAAATATAGTCACAAGGAATATCGAAAGCGCAAGCAAGAACGTGCGACCGTACTTAATCGCTATGGTCGTATTGTGTGTAAAACAAATTTATCGGAGGATGAAGTTAAAGAACCAGACTTTGTTACGTCCCAATTGGAAACTATGGATTTAAAACGTATCCAAGGAAACAAGATCCGAAGTGAAGTAAGATGGCTCGAATCAAACGAGCAGCCATCGCGCTTTTTCTTCCAAAAGGAAAAAAGAAGAGCGGTTAAGAAAACGTGTCATGCTCTACGCACGAGTGATGGGATGAGAGTGACTGAGCAACATGATATCTCAAAGGAACAAGTTCGATTTTATAAAGAACTTTATTCAAAAGTGCCGACAGACAAAGTTGCCCAAGATCGGTTACTCAATTTACTTGACAGGAAACTAACAAATGAGCAACGCGATTCATGCGAGGGACAGTTAACGGTGGGTGAATGTTTGGTAGCAGTAAAGTCTATGGCAAATGGCAAAACATCGGGTTCAGACGGTCTACCGAAAGAATTTTATTTGTCCTTTTGGGACCTGCTTAAAGAAGACTTTGTTGAAATGGCAAATTATTGTTATTCAGTTGAACTGATGCCTGAGTCTATGATCGAGAGCATTAATATCACTGTTGTTTAAGAAAGAAGATCCTGAATTATTGAAAAATTGGCGCCCAATTTCGCTCCTCAATACAGATTACAAGATTATTACAAAAGTTCTGGTAAATCGTGTTAAACCTGTTATGCTCATGATAATTCACCCGGATCAATGCTGTTCTGTCCCTGGACGTTCGAGTGAAGGTAATGCGACTCTCCTACGGAACGTATGTGACTATCTGGAAGTTAATGAAAGAATGGCCTAACTGTGCCTTTATATCGATTGATCAAGAAAAAGCGTTTGATTATGTTGACTGGGGCTTTTTAGACAGAATTTTAGGTACTATGAACTTTGGTCCACAATTTCGATCATACATTAAAAGTATTTATCATGACATTCGGAGTGCTATAATATCCGATGGTTATGTTTCAGAGTCTTCTCACGTGCAACGAGGTGTACGACAAGGGTGCCCGCTATCTCCATTGTTGTTTGTCATAGTGGCGGAAGTGTTTGGACAAGCGATTCGAAAGTGCTCAGAAATACAAGGATTGCGTGTGCCTGGAGGGAAGGAAGTGAAAATATCACAATATGCTGATGACAACACCTGTATTGTTACCAATTCATATGGTCTTGTTAAAGTCATTGATGTCTTTAATGAATATGGTCGAGCATCCGGAGCGAGGCTTAATACAACGAAATCAAAGGGTCTTTGGCTCGGTAGGTGGCGTTCTCGTACTGATTCACCCTGTGGTCTAACGTGGGTTAACACGAGCCTAAAAATTGTTGGTATTTACTTTGGTTCCGAAAACGCAAAGATCCAATCATGGGAAGAGGTTACTGCCAAATTCAAGGGAATATTGAAGAAATGGGAACCACGGTATCTGACGTTAGGAGGGAAAATGACGGTGATCGGGAGTTTGGTGGCTTCGACGCTTTAGCATGTGGTAAAGATATACCCGCTAACGCGTGAATGTATTGACTCGCTACAATCGGAAATTTGGAAATTCGTTTGGTCAAAGAAACCGGAGTGGGTGCGTCGGGAAACGTGTATGTCGGACTATTTGAATGGGGGTCTGCGAATTATTAATCTTGACATCAAAAGCAAAGCATTGTTAATTGGTCGTGTCTTCCGATATTTTGAAGAGAGTGAGGCACCTTGGAAAGATTTCATGCGTTATTACATCGGACGGGCTTTAGGCATAAACGATAACTCGAGACCAAATAGTGACATTCCAACTTTGGACAACCTTGCACGAGTAAAATGTGTTACCTAAAACGTATTGAAGATTGTGTTACCCCGGTACAAGCAAGAAGCGAGTTAGCTTGGAATCAAAGATTTGGTCCTGGTTTAATTTGGAAAGAGATTTGGAAGGATGTCGCTCGAAGTTTCAATGATCCAGTGTTACGTGATTTTGAGTGGCGCACGGTACATCGGGTTTTACCTGTCAATTTCAGAGTGCATAAATGGTATTCACGAATATCCTCAGCATGTGCACGGTGTGGTGAAAGAATTGTGGAAACATTAGAACACACGTTGATTCATTGTCCAATGGTAAAGGAGATGTGGATGTTCATTTTGAAATTGTGCAATCGAATTGATGCATCGGTTATTGGTCTTTTAGAGCGGAATATGTTGTTGGGTTGTTTCCCGCGAACAATAACAAGAGACCTTCTGCGTTACTTAATCAGTATTGGAAAATTTTCCGGGTAGAAAGAACGAGTGTCACATCAGTTCAGGAAGGATGAGAAAATTAACAGTCTTCTGTATTTTAAGAATTACGTGCGAAATCGATTGGAAACAGAACAGTGTATCATGGACACGGAAAAATATGAATCAAAATTGTGTATAAACAATGTTTTAGCATGTGTTATAAACGGTATAATACGAACTTTATCTAAAAGTCAATATTTGTGTGATCTAATGTAAATATTTTAACGTGGTCTAATGCATGTGAATTGTGTGTAAAATAATTTTGATTCCCCGTAGGGCGAGACTTTTTTTATTTATTGGTTTACGGATTTTACTTTAAAAATAAGTATAAATGAGAACCGAAATTAATAATCTTTATAAAATTTTTTAACGTCAATTTCAAAAAACGCAAAAAACGTGGCTAATCTACCACTGATCTGTACTAACACTGGATAACGCATCTATGGTATACAAAAGTGAAGCCGGAAGTCACCGGCCGCCACCCGATTCAAGAGTCCCACTTTTGTATAGATTTGTATTGCAGATGGTAGTTTTTCGCGTTTTTTGCCTTGGCTACGTTTCCGACCAGGCTAATTTTACAATCACAAAGATAGAAGCATACAAGAAGAATTTTGAGCAAACAATTTGGTGTATTATGGCTTTATAACGCCGCGAAATGGGATTTACAGCTCTGAAGGAGTGGAGAGCCTCAGACTTTGTTTACCAACACGAGCTCGTTTTGCTACTTTCATACAAAATCAACTCAAAATATACAAGAATTACTGTTACTGGACGAATATTCTCAGGAAATTTGAAGAAATGAAGCAGCTACATTGTAAACGAAAGCGTACTGAGGTTAGTTTTAAAATACCCTGAGGCTACTTTTATAATTATATGAATTAAAATAACATTATATCGAGTCATTGTTAATTTGGATTAAAAAAACTATTTGATTGTCACTTGTCTTCCTACTTTAAAACATATAAAACTTCTCGACAAGTCGAGGGAATGTTCTTGACAAAGTTGACATTTAAAACTGTTCCTTAATTTTCATATAAGTCAGTACGCTTTCGTTCACAATGTAGCTGCTTCATTTCTTCAAATTTGCCGAGAATATTCGTCCAGTAACAGTATTTCTTGTATATTTTGAGTTGACTTTGTATGAAAGTAGCAAAACGAGCTCGTGTTGATAAACAAAGTATGAGGCTCTCCACTCCTTCAGTGTTATAAATCCCGTTTCGCGGCGTTATAAAGCCATAATACTCCAAATTGTTTGCTCAAAATTCTACTTGTATGCTTCCACCTTTGTGATTGTAAAACTGGCCCGGTCAGAAACGTAGCCAAGGCAAAAAACGCGAAAAACTACCATCTGTAATACAAATCTATACCAAAGTGAGATCCTTGAATCGAGTGGCGGCCGGTGACTTCCGGCTTCACTTTTGTATACTATAGATGCGTTATCCAGTCTTAGCACAGATCAGTGTAATCTACATATTGATTGTCACAACGATAACATGAGCCAGGAGTACCTAGAGTCAAAGTTCACTTGAAGTGTACTTCATGACAGAACCCCAAATTAATTAAAATTAACTAAAACTGTAAAATTTTTGACATCCAAATTTTTTTTTTTTTTTCACTTTCTGAATATTTACGGTCGGCGGATCCGTAAACCAATGAATAAAAAAAGTCTCGCTTAGTGATATACACTATGTGGGGTTTTTAATAAAAATACTCCTACCTAATGGTACAGATATGTCGGGCTCTGAGGTACACGGCTGTTTCTCTTTCTTGTCTTAGAGACGTGCAGCGTTTTCTAGTCGAAAGGGAGATGTGGGTCTTGAGTTTTCCTGCAAATTCAAGTCCCGAATTCAAGACTCATGCCTGGTCTTGAATTGAAAATGTAAAACCAGGTAACTGGTTATTATTTTTTTGTAATAATTGGCTACCAGGTTATTATTGAAAATTAATAGCCTGGTACCAGGTTATTATGGAAATTAATAACCTGGTACCGGTTATTAATTTTCCATAATAACCTTCAACCCCGCATTTCCCCCGGAGAAATCAAATACCACCGCCTGCTTTTAGATTGAAGGTTATTACGGAGGAGTTAAAAACCGACAAAATACAAAAGAATATGGTCTGATGAGTTTGTAACTGTGTATAATGTCTATAATATATATTTGTGATGTTTATAAAAAAATATATTCATTTGAACATCAGTCTCTTAATATTTTTAATCAATGCACATACAAATTAGAAGCAGAATAAAATACTACCATTGAATGTAATAATACTTGTACTACTTGTGATTGAAAGAACAAAGTTTTGAATATTTGAAGCAATTAAAATGCGGTCAGATAAGTTGGGATTTGGAATACGACTAAATGAGCATGTATTTAATTTTTTCGAAATCACGAGCGTGCCATTGTAGTGGAAGCCGTATCGTATGTCAAATGAGAAAGTGAATAATGCAATATCGTTTTTATTAAATTAAACCACCATAGTTCAGGAAGTTAATAATATGCAGTAAAATTATTAAATAATTTACAAAATTGCCGGTAGCTAAAATAGTACAACCTTACGACTTACGACATTCGGACGATATTTATCTAAATGATATGCCAGCGATCGAGCATCAACAATATAATTATTCGCACATATTGGGGTATCTTTTTTATGCCTAATTCGTTTGCTCACTAATAGTTGACCTGCATGGAAGCACATAAGCGAACGTAAAACCTCATTAATATCATTATCGTGACTCAACCTACGCAAAATTGGTGACTCTTATTGGATGCTGATTCTCTTGCCGTGTTGGACATATGATAACTATAGCTATTGTAAAATATAGCGCATAGGATTGTTTGAATGCAGTTGCAAGCACTGAATTATTTGCATACAGTTTTAGGCTGTCATGTAACGTATAGATACGCAGTAAAGCAAGGCGAAATAGATGGCAACATGGACATTGCAGTGCCGTAGCAAGCTCGATAATTGGGGGGGGGGGCTCATATTCATATATTCGTGTTCACAGACCATAAAAACAATCGATTTCAAAAGAAATTAATGACGCAGAACACGAATATATCAATATGAGCCCCCCCCCCCAATTAGGGACTTTTAGTAGCAAATAGATGACGGCAACGCGACGACGACGGCCAAAACAATCTCGTTCAAATAAGTAACTTTAAGATCAACATGTCTTGTATTATCCTTTGTATGCATTTATTGCAATGTAAGAAGGTTAAGACAGAGGTTTATAGTTGAGAAGACGTCTACTGTCTCTACTAGGCCAATTTGGCGAGGACGACTTCTCGCAGCTTGAAAGGAAGACCGGCGTTGTGTACTAAACGTGAAAATCTTTGGTTTGCTGTTGTAAACAGAGCAAGGACGGCGTCTAAAACTCCCAAGGGACCTTTAATTATGCATTTTCTTTCTACACTGTCACAAATTTCATTGTATTAGCCGTCGCCGCCCCTGCTAGCTAAAGGTCCCTATTATCGAGCTTGCTACGGCACTGCATTGTGAATCTTACTATGCTTAGCATCAATGCAATTTGTAACGCGCTTTTCTTCATTTATATATAAATTATTATTGAATTATAAATGCTGCTTTTGACGAGTTAGTGGAAGAGAGCAATGTTGAAGCCCGATTGAACGCCCTCCTGAACAATTAGAGCATCTTTTCCAATCATTTTATCAGCTAATTAGCTTTGACAGCAACCTGCTCCCAAAAGTTCCTTTCCACGACCACGACCTTACAATGTTATTTGTTTCTCCGTGTACGGCGAGGTGGCATTTTTAAAACGTCCAAACGTCCTACAAACGTCAAAACGTCCTTTTCACGTTGAAACGTCCTACTTCTTTTAGCTTTCATCTACATGTAATTTACTTCTTTAGAAATTATAATCCCACATGCGTCTTTTAATAATGGAGTATGCTTTGTTTCTACATACTACATTGCATGCTATCTCCATGATTTAGGAATTTTTGATCATTGAATTTTTAATGCTTTGATCGTTTCCTATGATTTACTTCTTTAACGACAAATAATCTAATAAAGTGAAAGATTTATTATATTCACTCTTTACCACGCCTTCTCATATTATACTTTGAGATCTGCGACAATGACTTCTTCAATCAGTAAATTTTCTATCAGATTGTTTGCTGACCGCATTCCTATATGGGCATGTTATAGCTGTCATACCACTAAGACAGTTGACTTTGGCCCCAAGTGCAGTTTACTCGTAGATTAAACATTGATTATGTGCATTTCACTTTTAGCGCTGACTTGAATGGTTTTACCTCTGATCACATTCGAAGACTTCCGAACTCACCCACGCAAAATGGAACCGATTCTATTCTATCATTTTACGCTGGTTTACCAAGTGGTAGTGGTTCATTACCTAGCAGTGTCTTAGCAACCATATTTACGTCACACCAAGACAACATTCTTTCCGTGAACAGCGAACTTGAAGATCCAAGAGTTAGCATATCAAGTAGTGAAACTCCAGCTCTCACCCCTACCGAAACCCAAAACGTAGTGCCAATAATAATTTTCAACCTCAGATCTGGAAAGGTGAGTGGAAAGAATGTCTAACGCAATGAAAATTTAGCTAGCTGACCACTAACTTTCCGTTTTATCGAATTATCATTTTGAGTTAGTACAACTATAATTTGAACATTACACTGCCGGTTGTTTGTGCAGCTTACGTGAAAGCATGCATTTAGCAAAGGTATTCGTGAATTAATCCAGATTAATATAATTTTTTTGCACAATTTTATTTATCCACTATAACATGTTCATGCGTATTACGTTTTTTAAAGAAAATGAAATCAGATCTGTATATTAGGCCTATAACAACCAAATTTTAATGGAAAGTTATATTTTATGATAATTGACGTCAAGTTTTTGCACCGTCTATAATTGGACATGTATTGGGCTAAAAAATAAGCAACAATTTAAAGATGCACGTGCCCTTCTGTAGCAAAATCAATTAAATTGATTCCAGTTTCAGAGCTTGATCGTACACACCATCAACATAACGATATTGTTGTTAATATATATATATATATATATATATATATATATATATATATATATATATATATATATATATATATATATATATATATATATATATATATATAAATCTTTGAAGGTATTCAATTGATGCGGCGATACCTTCATCATGCAGGATGTTAGTGTACAGAGATCTAACATGTATTGTTAGAAGAATAATGTCATTGGGAAGATTATGGTTAAGTTTGAATATACGTCTAAGGAAGTCTGTTGAATCTTTAACAAATGAGGGGATATTGCTAACTAAGGGTTTGAGGAAGTGGTCCGCATATTTCAATAATCTGACAGTGGGGCCATCACATCCAGAGATGATAGGTCTACCCGGGTTGCCAGCTTTATGAATTTTAGGTAGTAGATAAAGGGTGGGAGTTTTAGTTGGTGTGGGGGGCAATAGGAATTTATATGTAGTGTAATCAAATTGACCCAATTTGTGGTTATTATGAACAAATTGTCGTATTCTAGTTATTAGTTCAGGGATGGGATTCGTTGAAATATGATTGTAATGGGTGGTGTTAGCAAGTTGTTTAGAGGCCTCATGTATGTAGTCATCTCTTGGCCAGATGACAATGGCCCCACCTTTGTCTGCTGGTTTAACAATCAAGTTGTCGTTTTTCTGCAAATCGTTTAATGCAGATATTTGTTCTCTTGAATAGTTTTTATGTATGTTAGTAGGGGTATTTGAGTGCGAGTGTATCTCCTGATAAACTAGGGAAATAAATTCCAAGAGGTTTTCATTATCAGGAAGCGGAGGTGTAAAGTCACTTTTTAATTTGAACGGATGGGAGGGTATATTATTATTAGGAGATTTTTTAAAGAAATATCGTAAATGCATTTTTCGTCGGAAGTCCTGATAGCTCCTGTATATAATCTCTCTATTAGTGGGTTGTGGTGTGGGATGGTGGGTTTGTCAAGGGGTGTGTTTGATAGATTCACCACACTATCCTTAACATGTTTCATTTTAATTTCAGAGAGAATTGCACTTTTACTTTTGAATCGATAATTATTGTTATTTCGTTTAGTGTGCAAATATTTACGTAATTTAGTTTTGGTAAGCTTGTTAGTTAGCGGGCTTCGTATTGTTTCTCATGTTCAGATGATAGCTGGGCAGATGCATGCGTGAGAGAAAATCCTTCAAATTAGAATTAGTTACGTTAGTGGTTGTGTGATTATTTCTATTCCTCGTGTTAGTTGCGAAGGGGAAGGGGTATGTTGTAGGAGTACATGGGCTAGGCATATTTCTGGTGATGGTTGAGCCAACACGTTGTGACCTGACTCTAGCTGCGGGAACTAGAAGAGAGGGCTGTATTATGTGAGGAGACGAGGAACCAACTGTTGAATTAATTCTCCTTGTGTTGTTGGTATTAGGATTAATATTATTGGGAGTGCAGCTCATTAGTGGGGTTAATGTTTGGGTAGTCGATACGGGATTATAATTATTATTGGTTAGGTTGGGAATAGAGCGAGACGGGTGTATTGATAGGGGTTTTTGTAGAGGAAGTGGTTTTCGTCGACACATAAGGTGGAGATGTATAAGAACCACCCACCATGCGACGCGTTATTATGGCATTTATACGGTTCAAATCTTCGGAGGGTTCTACCTTTGTTAGTTTTATCACCAATATCATTAGTGACCTGTATAATATTAGAGGCCGTTAGTTTGTCTGGAGCGTTACTATATATATATTGGTGGGAATTATCTATGTTGCTTAAGAGATTAGTTTTAGTACGATTATGATTCTCAATTAGTATATCAAGGAGAGTGTTAGATGTGTTAGTGAGGGCTTCATCCCATAGTTTGCGTAGGTCATGCGGTAATCTGACCCTGCATTCCACCTTAGGTACGAGGCCTGTTGGGGTGGTATTCATCTCCTTGTGCTGCTCAAGCTTATCTAGTAGGGTATTAGTTTTGTGAAGATTAAATTTATAGTTATTCAATGCCGTAAAAGGTCCTATGTAAATTATTAGGAATACTGTTAATAATGTTTCTGGTCTGGTTAGTATCTAGGTTAACATAATTAGTATTAGAGGGGTGATGTTTACGTGTAATATCTGGTGTTTTCTGTGTTAAGCCTTCTAGTCCATTCGAGTCTGAGGAGTCTTGGGTATTATTGTTAGTTGCAGTGTCATGGTTAATGTTGTCATCATCTGGGCCTAATAACATTTGTTCGGTTATTGGGTCAGTCTGCATGTCAATCTGATTATCATCTTTCATTAATTCTACCATTAGTGCTTCAGTCATTTTATCCTCTACCAATACTTGGGAATGGCTGGTTATATCCTCACTCTCTCTGGTATTGGCGGGTGGATTTACTTCGGGTGTTTCAGAAATTAGGGTATTAGTATCTGTACAAGCATTAGTCTCGTTATTGGAGCTCTCAACATTCGTGTTATTGCTATTAATATTATGTTGCATGTCATTGTCATTATTATTATTATGAACAGCGGATTCTGATTCCGGGAGGAGGAACTAAATAAATTAAATATGACTGTGTTATTGGAATTGATCCCTGAGTAAACGCAATACGGATAGCAAGATGTAGTTAAAATATCGCTATGTATTAACTGTCCGAAATTTCAACGTACATAAGCAATTATATCACACTGCAAACAGGTATATACTATTAATTAAAACATGTAATCATGCAAACATATCATTTGTGAACTAATAAAAATAAGCAAGGGTCAAGCTATATATTAAGAGTTAATGGATATAGGCTATATACTAAACATAATGGGCCATTGTTACGGAGTGGGGGATGGCGGGTCAATGTCATAACTACCAAACAGTACAAGGAGCGTGAATAGCTCTACCGTTCCCTACAAGTAATATCGACATTCATTCATTGGTATGAAATAGGTAATTGGACAAGTACTGGTGTAAGACATTGTGTAACCTAAATAATGAGGACCAGCAGTTCAAACGGTTATCCTTTATTTATTTACTCCGACTCCTGTGATGGTGAACATGTACGCAAAAAACAAGGGAAACTACGATTAGATAGTAACTGAATATGTGAATTTTATGTGACACGATGATGGCGAGCGAGGATATATAAGAGCGAGAGATTGAATTGGAATAGGAAAGGCAACCCTGTACGCGTTTCGACCTAACAGTCTTCTTCAGCAGGGTTTTTTTTTAAGGGGGGTGGTAGATAGAGTTTGCAGAGTGAAACCAGAATGCAGGAGAGTTTAGGAGCACTGAACATATGTGAAACCAGAGAAAACAAATTATTACAAAGTTATAATGAATTACACAATACAAAAATGAAGGTTGAAAGAAAGTGAAAAGGATGAAATTACTGAATATGTTATTAGTAAAATTATCCTACCAAAGGTCTTGTTGTTGCAGGACATTCCAACATTACGTACTTTATTGTTCATCTTTTAACTATATTTTTGGAGCGAAGCAATTTGTATCATCGACAACCAATGCGAAAAACCAGCACACAGAGTTGGCAAATCATTTTTTATCTGCCTCGGGTTCCGTACCGTGACAGGAATACATGTGTGGTCTCAAATAACGTTGATCTCACAAACACATTACAATTATCATACCTCGTCCAAGTTAGACATTGTTGACCTTGTGGCAATGAATTGCTCAAGAAACTGTAATTTATCCAAGACCCAAGTTGTTTGCTTCGAAGGGTTTCTCATTGCACTTCCGGAAGGTGGTGGCTTTTTCGCTTTTGTAAAGCAGTTTCTGAGGGCTTTGAGTTTATTTTTTACCCAGTCAACTGTTGCAAAATATAAAAACATATGTGACTTTCCTGTTATTGTGTAGAAATACCTGAATAGAATTATATAAAGTCAATAAACAAATAAATAATTCATGAAGTATTGTTACCATTTTGATTAACCGCAATTGCAATTTCTTCTAAAGCTTTTTGTCGTCTATCTCTATTCTTAAAATCAGCTGAACGAACGTCATAAAGACAGGGGTGGTCTGGCCATATTTCAAACAATTTTTCTTCTGCCACAATCTCGTTAAGAACATCATTGGACGCCATATTGTAATGCTGAATCAGTAATATCACGTGGAAATGATACATGTTTTCATTGGCTGTCACATATTTACAGCTGAGCTAATAACGAGCGAACCCTGCACACTGTATAATTTCTGCCACACATGGACAAAAAATCAAACACAACAGAATTTTTCCTCGCGGTCACTCGTGTCCAATTCCGCAGCAAAAACTATGCGCACACGTAAGCTATAAGCTGAGCTAACAGCCACACATGGTCATTAGCTAAGCTAAAAGCTCTTGTCTGCGGCAGGCTTAAAGAATATCGGCAAGAAAGATAAAAATGACTTTAGCAATGAATTACGCATGTAAGTAAAAGTCTTATGAAATTTTGCATTAGTCTGTTCAACCTAATTTTGATATCCATTTTTGTTCATTGAAATAGGAGTAATTCATATTTTATCAGTCATATGATTACAAATCTCAGCTAGTTGTTCCTGGTTAGTTTTTGTCCATCACATATACCCTTTTCTAAATTGGTAAGCTGCTTCTGCACGATTTCTTCATTTTGGTAGAAGTCCATTAAGAAATTAAAAGCTATATTATATGGGTTTCTATTTGCTGCTGACCAGCATTAAACGTCTTGCATTTTTTCGGTAATTCTGAGACTCTTGAATGCTTGTTTTTAGTGTATTGCTAATATTACACACCATTGTACCATGGTACAAGCAAAGAGGAGAGTTATGTGGACTAACCATGTTATGGAATTTGTCACCAAGAATGTAGTGACTACTTGACTTGTTAACAGGGTGTTGAAGTGGCCCTAAAGGTGTGCATTCTTCAATAAAATTTGCTGCTTGGAATTCAGGTGTGATGAACTCAGGAATCATGTGTCCCTTGGAGAAAAAGATAAAGAGTATTTAAATTAAGAAAACCAATTCTGTTTTCTTTTTTCTAAAATCCACATTAACAGTACTGGTACTTATACTGTCTTTACTTACAGATGTGGGTGGCTTATTCAATGTAGGAGTTTCAAAACAGCCTTCTTTTGTTCAGAAGTCATTGGAGACTTTGGCAAAATGGCAGCAACAAATGACGCCTCTGACTCAGAGGAGTTACTAGACACTACAGAAAGCGACAAAGCAGCCACCGAAGCTGTTCAAAGCGAGGAAAACGACGCCTTACTAGACGAGATTGAACACTCGCTCAACAAAGACGAAAAAACTGAATATCCCTTCTCAGCGAACATTGCCAACAAACAGTGGCAGCTCCAAAAGCTTGGTGATGAACACAACTTAAAGAGAAACTTGAAAAATATCACCACCCTGCAAACTGTGAGAAACTTGCCGTGACCCAAGTCAACCCGGAAATCTGGGGGAAGCTTGATCGTTTTGCAAGGGCAAAAGATCTAAAATTTTCCCCGCCTTCAGGAACAAGTTACGAAGATCGGGCATATTATCTTAAAGAGCACGGAACACTTGCTACAAGCAAAAGCTGATAGCTCAAAACTTTGCCTGGATGACCTTGTCAGAATGAATACCGATGCATTAGCATTGCTCGGTCATGTTTGTTTTGAAATCACTCATTGATGACGTAAAAGCATCGATCTACCGCAACAGCTTTATAGTAAATAGAAATGTTACTGTCAGAGGTAAAATTCAGTTCACAGTGCATGAGCATAAGGCGTAAAAAAAAAATACCTGTGGTTCCGGTTCCCGACTGACCCTATTTTTTTTCTGCCGACCCTATTATTTTTTCAATGCGATTGACCGTGCAACCCTATTTTCTCCAGGTGGTTGCGGGCTGCTCATACAGTGTGCCAAAATGGCGTCTGTTGTCACACTAATTATTGAACCAAATTGCCTACATTCGCCCATAGGAAATACGCATCTCTAGTTAATATTGATGTCGGGACTCTACTGAAAATCGACCAGCAAAAAAAACGCCAAAACCATGAAAAAAAAATTTTAAAAAAAATTTATTTCCGACCTACCGACCCTAATTTTTCACGATATGAAACCGGAACCACAGGTTTTTTTTTTACGCCTAAAGAATGACCATTCAAATTACAATAATTTTCATACTTTCCTCATATCACTTTCACTGATATCTTCATGAGGTTGGAATCTGTTATATGGAAGGGGACCACCATCTGGTACTGCATCACCTACGAAAAACAACGAATACAAATTGTTTGAATTTTTCGTGATGTATGAATTATGTGTTCATGTTCAGTGTAAATTTAAAAATCTACTGGGAACCTCACCTATACACATGTCAGTTCTTTCAGCAGGACAAGGGTCATTAACAGCCAGATGAATCCTCATTTGCCAGTCCAAATTAAAAAGCCTTGCCAGTTCAGCATCACAAAACTTCAAAATTGGTTATTGATATGCCAGGGCCAGGAAGGCAATGCAATTTCAGGAAGACAATGCAATGAGGGCCAGGAAGACAATGCAATTTCATGTCAATAATAACATTTTTTGTTTTCGTTATGCAAATTTCATATGAAGACCACAAGTCTTCTCCAGTTGTTGTGGTTGTAGATACCAAAATATCTCTTAAGTTCTGTAGCTCTTTAGTGACTTCCAATAGCAAGTCAACAATTTCATTGCCAAGTGCAATTTCTTTTGCTTCGACCTTATCCTTTGATACTTTCCACAAGCTCTGGGCATCTATCAAACTGTTTAACACATGTTCTATACAGCATTTCTCATAAGAACGGAACTTACACAATGGATCCTCTGCTAAACACTCCACATCCCCCTTTTCTGTTGTGTCGAAAAAATAGAATAAGTTGTCCCTTGCCACTGCTGATAATGTCCTCAAAGCAGGATTTAAAGTTTGTCCATGAACTTCATATAATTGTGGATGCTTCCATTGTAAATACACATGCTCCCAGGCCCAGACACTACCACTGCTTCCCACATACTGTTTGGGTCGAACAGTAACAACCGAGCTATCATCCTTCAATACCACTCTCTGGATACCTATAAAATAGAATTATTATCACATGGTGCTTTTAAATCAGATAAACTATCACACACATGCAAATAAAAATAACTTTATAAGTAGTAATATTAAACTTACCATCCATCTGCTTAACTTTGTGGGACATAAAACGATAGGCAGATGGTGTAACATACAAACGTGGATCACCAAAATTGTGACTGGGAAGAGCACGTATTGTTAAACCACTTTCCTCAGTTGGTTGCAGCAATGACTGATGTTTAGTTCCTGGTTGCAGCAATGACTGATGTTCATCCATTCCAACTATATTAAGATAATTAAAAAAGAACAAAAGGGTTTCAATATAGCAAGTAGTTTTTTATAAAGAAAAAAATAATATCCAATTTTAACCCGATGTTTCAGGGCGAATATGGGCTTTGTCATCTGCACTGACTTCTATTGCCCGTTTATGATCTTCACAAGCAGCAAAAAGGTAGTGCAGTTTCAACAGCTCCACATGTTTTCTGTGATGATGTCTGAGAACATTGTCATTGTCACCAGTTTTTGGGAGGTTTTTTCAAGCAGAATAGACCTTTTCCTGTAAGATGAGAAGAGATATAGAGAAATTTAAAAGAGTGTTTAGGTTATGCTATCATTTCAATATTAATAAAAGTATGATTACAAAATGATGGATGAAAAATTTGTGTCATATGCGGTTTAAAGTGTCTATTTAGTTAGATTATCTATATGGTTTTTTAATTGCAATGACCTTTGTTTTTTTGTCTTTCCCCTGTTGTATATGGTTGTTGCAGATTTGATAATTTCCGTTCCATGCTCTAAGAGATGATAATTGACAATACTCAATAAATCATCCCTCTTCAGTTGCTTGTGGTAATAGAGAACCATGTCATGCCTTCTACCAAGTGCAGTTGTTTTCTGCTCAATGGCTTTTGCAATTAATTCTTCATGAATATCATCAAGCTTTCTTTTAGCACTAGCTCCTGAAGCTCTATTTCTTAGTCTATTTTGTTCTATCAAATTCTGAGATTTTTTTCTTGCTGCTGCATTAAATTTCTGCCTTGAATAAGAATCACTGCGGTATTTTCTCTGAAATGCTGTTTAGATGTCTACTGTCTGACCGCATTTTGCTTAATACATCATAAGACTCCTTTAAATACTCAATTTCTCTTTCCTTTTTACTAATTGTTTCTTGCAAAGACAGTATAGCCATGTCCATCCCAGCAGTTAATTCATTCTGAACATCGCTGGATACAGTTAAAATTCTTTGCAAGGATGCCACTGCAACTTGCGGCTGCAACCCAAATTGTAAATTTCACTTCGGGCACACATTGTAGCAATAATGGCACGGACTACAGACCTATCATATTCGGTTTCCATAGAATCTATAATTGTTTTCAGTGATCTTGCATCCAAATTAAACCTGGTTTCCAGCTCTTCTGCTTCCTGATTTATGAATAGATCAAGAAATCGCACCACATTGCACCCTGGGTCAAGGGCCACATAGTTTACATTTTTAACCATAAACACTACAACCAGAAGGTAGTCCAATGTCATCTGACAACAGATTATCTCTGAAGTTTCGGGGATCCGGAGTTAAAATTTCAGGTCCAAAAGCACTAGAATAAAGCTTGTATCCTTCTTGGAACAGCAAAGTACCTTTTAACTTTCCTGATATTTGGTCAGTTGAAGTTAACTTATGGAGAACATAAAGTAACCCTGCATAAATAGCCCTTTTCGAAACAGCTGTACTGACAAATAAGAAGCCCTTCAAGCTTTTGATTTACGTCTTGTAACTCAAGTTTTTGCACTGAACCTCGTATTTTTCACTGATCTTGCTAGTGCTGCAAATCTTTGCTCTCCGTTCTTGCCATGTCGTACTTCCATGCCGTACTACAAACATTCTGTTGTATCTCAGTGGGCTTTGGTGATACATTTTGATCACTGAGATTTTCTTCTTTTTCGTCCGCCATATTGTGTGTATAAAGTTTGTTTTCAAAATGTTTCCCAATGTGGTCAGCGGTGTAGATCAGTTTCTTTGGCTTATACTTCATATTAGAGCAACATACATTAATTTTTTTTAACATTTTTACCGTGTGGTTTTTATTATTCAATGTTATTATTCAATATCTTTTCATACTCCATAATCAATGGAAGGAACTTCAAGGTACAATTCGCTCAAATATATAAAATAAATTGTTTATTAATATAGAAAAGTTTATTGTTTCAACAGAATATAAATATGCATTTTTGATATTGAATAATAATCCTTTATAAATATTCATGTTGAATGATGAATGATTTTCTGGACAGGGTGTGCGACCAACAAAGACTCAAGCCTTTACTGTTGTGAATGTGAACTTAACTACTGTGAATCGTGCAGTAGATGATTTCATTCAAAGGTTGGGGACTTGGTGCAAATATATTGGAGTGAGTCAATGCCATATTTATCAAGCATATAAATGTTAATACAATTCAATTGGCACATTTTTTACACTTTGTTGTGCAGGGTAATTTAAAGACCCACAAGATAAGAAGTGCAACCTTTATTTGCCAAGACTGTGAAGAAGTGAATGCTAACCACCTGTGTGAAGTTTGCGACATGAGTAAGTATATTTTAATATTAGGTTGAAATAAAAACAGAGTGTCATAATTATGTTAATTTATGATAAGCATGTGATCATGATTAAAGTTGTTGTTGAACATGGCAACGTGTGTAGTGTATATGACATGGTGTCAGGAGTAAAAATAAAAAAAAACCTAAAATGGAAACGTTTAAGCCCCAGAGTGCATTGAATTTGACAGGAAACTTGCGAGAGAACTGGAGGCGATGGATTCAGCGATTCGAGTTGTTTTTGACCACGTCAGGGAAAGTCAAAGAAACGGAAAAAGTCCAGTGTGCAATTTTACTTCATCTCATCGGTGATGAAGCCCTCGAAATCTACAACACGTTTACGTTTGGCGAGGGCAAGGATAGTGATACGTTTAGCGTGTTGAAAAAGAAATTTGAAGATTATGTCAATCCTCGAAAGAATACTGTATTTGAACGATATAAATTCTGAGAATGCAAACAACAAGGTGAAACAATCGACCCATTTATAACGGAGTTGAAAACACGAGCTAAGTCATGTGAATTTGGTGATCAGACGGACAGCATGATTCGAGATTGTATAGTATTTGGGGTGAGTGATATTCGATTAAAAGAACAATTGCTTCGTGAATCGTCTGAACTCACTCTTGAAAAAGCTGCAAGTTTGTGCCGAGCGGCGGAAGAAAGTGTGAAACAGCTCAAAGAGCTTTGGAAGCAAAATGTTGATCCAAGTGAACCGGAAGTTCATGTCGTAAAGAAACCCACTCGAGGTGAGTCGCTATTTGATTGTAATAGATGTGGAACTAAGCATGCAGTAAGATCTTGCCCTGCATTTGGAAAACCTTGCCACAAATGTAAAAGAAAAAACCACTTTGCACGAATGTGTCAAATGTCAAGAAATTCTTCTGTTGATGAAGTGTCAGAAAATACTGGGGAAGCTAACACTAGAAATGACCCAACACTCGAGTTAAATAGTTTATTTATTGGGACCATAACTAGCCCCACAACAAGTTCTGCATGGTTTGTGAGTGTGGGTATAAATGGAACACAAGTTCGATTTAAACTTGACACTGGAGCTGAAGCCAATGTGTTGCCATTTAATGTGTATTCAAGTCTAGAGATTAGTACATCCCTGCAGAAAACTGATGTGGTTTTAACCTCATATGGGAATTTTAAAGTCAAGCCGGAGGGGAGAGTTTTCCTGAGATGTGTCGTCAATGGTCAGTCTGAAATGCTACCATTCTTTGTTGTTACTGTCCAGTCAACCCCAATACTACAATCCTGGCAAAAATTATGTGGACACCTAACTTTTCTAATGCTAATATTAACATTGAGACGTTCTTTTATGAAACTAGTCGCCCCCTGCCCCTATTCAATGTTGTTTCTCGCATTTAAATTTTAAAGTTTCATTTACCAACATTGAACTGGGGGGTAGGAGGGGGGAGAAGATTTCTGGGGATTAATTCTGTAGAAATACTTCTATTTTTGTTTGACGCACGCGGTGTCCACAATAATTTTTGCCAGGATTGTCTGAAATTATCACATATTCCAAACTGTCCGATTTCGTGAATTTAAGGCTTGATCCAATGATAAAATAGGCTTGTTTGTTTAGCAAAAGGGGAAAACAATTAGTAAATCAGGTTATACTTATTTTTTTACTTTCCGATCTATCTTAAGTGTCACCTATCACATTACATGTTAAGTTGCTTTTTACGTATTATCTGGATTTATACAATTACAACTTAGTCTGCAACTCTACAAAGGCAAAGTAATATCTTCGTATGACAAATTATTGAACATCGTAGAGAACGACGATGTCTTAGCACTTAGTCAAATCTGAGTGCAAAATTTCCAGCCAAAAAATGCAAGGTTTGTTTACCTCATAACTTACAGCCAAGCAGATCTATGTTTAGTTCCTGAGCGTGAATGATTCGCATTGTTGGTAATACATGCATTTTCAAAATGCAGATCCTTTGTTAACCTGCAACATTTTGCAATGGGTACGTTTGGAACACGTAGCATCATATTCCCGTGTATTCATACAATATAACTGTATAAAACTACACGGTTGTGAGCGTAACCAAATTCACACTAAATATAACAGACCATAGCGATATGTTAGTGTATACGCATTCGAAGTGCTCACTATTTTCAGATTTTTTATAACAAACGCAGCCCAACAGCGACTGTAGAGCGCCTTTAATAATGACGGTGACGTCACACGGTACACGGCTGTGTAGCGTAGAGTAAAGAATACACAGCTTAAATATTTTTATCACTACGCTACACAGCCGTGTACCATGTGATGTCACTGCTAGATTAAAGGCGCTCTATACAGTTGCTGTTGGGCTGCGTTTGTTATAAAAAATCTGAAAATAGTGAGCACTTCGGATGTGTATATACTAAAATAACCTTATAGTCTGTTATATTTTATGTGAATTTGCATATGCGCATAAAGCGCTTTTGTTGAAAACTCGTCTTACTGCGTCTGCATAATTAGCTTGGCAAAGCATATATCATTGCCAATAGCTCCTCACTCACAAAATTACAAATATGCTTTAAAAAAACTTAAACTAGTTTAAACAATCTGTTTGTTATTCTAAAGTAATGGCAACATCAAAAATGTATAGTAAAAGGCCTGCTTTAGGTGAAAATTATGGATTTGTTTTTTAGGTTATTTTCAGACAATCCTGGCAAAAATTATGTGGACACCTAACTTTTCTAACGCTAATATTAACATTGAGACGTTCTTTTATGAAACTTGTCGCCCCCTGCCCCCTATTCAATGTTGTTTCTCGCATTTAAATTTTAAAGTTTCATTTACCAACATTGAATTGGGGGTAGGAGGGGGGAGAAGTTTTCTGGGGATTAATTCTGTAGAAATACTTCGATTTTTGTTTGACGCACACGGTGTCCACAATAATTTTTGCCAGGATTGTAGGTCTGCAGGCATGTGAGAAATTAAACCTGGTCAAGAAAGTTAATGAAGTGGCCCCATCACCCTCCACTAAAGAACACATTATTCATGATTACCCAGAGGTGTTTGAAGGGCTTGGCTCCATGGACGGAGAATATCATATCGTTGTTGATAAGACTGTCAAGCCTGTCATCCACCCACCACGAAAGGTTCCCTACAGCATACTGGGAAAGTTAAAAGAGAAACTTTCGCAGCTTGAAAAAATTGGTGTTGTGCAGAAAGTTGACAAACCGACTCCATAGGTTAACAGTCTTGTCATGGTCGAGAAATGTGATGCGTCTCTGCGGCTATGTTTGGATCCCTGTGATCTGAATAAGGCTATCCAACGGGAGCATCATAGAATTCCCACAGCAGAGGATATTGCCACTCGCCTTAGTGGTAAGAAGTTATTCTCCATAGTGGATGAAAAAGATGGGTTTTGGCAGATCCACCTAGATGAAGAAAGTTCCCATCTCTGCACCTTCAATACACCCTTTGGTCGCTTCCGCTTCACGAGCTTACCATTTGGTGTGTGTTCAGCCCCTGAAGTGTTTCAGAAGAAGAATGAAGCATTGTTTGGTGATATTGATGGTGTCAAGGTGATATTTGATGACATAATTGTGGCAGCGCGGGATGAAAAAGAGCATGATGAAATTATGGCAAAGCTGTCGGAAAGAGCAAAAGCAGAAAATGTTAAATTCAATCCAGAAAAGCTTCAGTACAAAGTCAAAGAAGTGAAGTACATGGGTAACATTGTATCTGAATCGGGTTTGAAGCCAGATAGCGAGAAAGTTCGTGCAATCCTGGACATGCCCTTACCTAAGTCAAAGCAAGAATTGCGAAGGTTCCTTGGAATGGTCAATTTTTTTCTCGAAGTTTATTTCAGGTCGATTAATCGAGTATTACTGACCCTCTAGATGATGGACAGAAGGAAGATGGACAAGAAGAAGAAGATGAACTATTAAGCATTGATGTTGATAATATAGATGCAGAAGAGGGTTTTAATGATAGTTTCTAAGTCGCAATGCGCCCTGAAGGGCACTGATTGTTATGTTGTTAATCATTTGTCTTACGAAATGCAATATATTTTATTTTATAATAGGTCAAAACTTCATCTTCAGTGTCTTTTTGGCTGTTTAATAAAGTTACTGGAAGTGACAATTTTGTACATTTTTGGCAAAAGAACAAAAGAAAACTGATTTGCATTGCCTTAATCAATGTCATTTTCAGTAATTTTTCATATATGCATGTACTAAAAAACTTTACTTTGCCAACTTTGAGTTTTTATGAATGAAAGAGTACGAAAGTTTATTGCTTTGATTTTTATATACTATGTATTCATTGATGTTTTGGTGCCCCCCCTCAAAACTTAAAAAGTTGTGCGTCGTGGGTAAAGTGATCAAATGCCCAACCGAATATTTAACCGAAGTAAAAGGATCTTGTTGGAGGCAACAATGTTGGATTTAACCAAGTCGCTGTATTGGGAAGGAACGAGAATGCAACTTTAGACGATTTGCGAAAAAAAGGGGATGGCAGCATGAGTGTAAATACAAAAGTTTTTAAGTTGACAAAATCAGTTCTGGGTGAAGGATTTTTAAACTGGGTTGAATATGGTATGCTAATGTTCATGCTTAGTATACTAGAAAATACATGCATGCAGAAACCTTGCCTTGCTGACAAAACCATTGTATTTTCCGAACATGAAGTATCTAAAGTAGTTGTCATGGTAACACGATAATTTTTTAAGAATATTCTTACAAATAAAAAATCGCCTAAAAATATCACTTTTAATTACAAAATTATTAATTTCCCCACATATATATGTTAGGTATGATCTTATACGTACAGTACCTGTCGCGAGTAAGGGTACGTCCACTTGCGCGTAGCGAGTACGCACGAGTCAAAGCAAGTACTCGTTCTTGTATTTGTATTTAAAATAGATCCCCAGTTAGCTATAATGCTAGTTTACACGAGGTCTACGCTATGGTATATTAAGTTCTACATATATATATATACATATATACACACATATACATATATATATATATAGTTTACTAAAAACTACGATGCTATACAAAATTACAATATAAAATTTAGTCATAACAATAGTAATAGCAGTGCTTATTCGGTATATATAGCTCCTTTCATTACTATGTGTTTTGTCTCTACACTTAAATTGTTCCAAATTTCTATTCCTCTTGTTGTAAACGCTCTAGCAAGGAATGTTTTCTTCTTATAAACAGGTTTCGCAAGTAGTAACTTATCACCTTTACACTGACTTGCTACTCACGAGTACTCGCATTTCATTTCACTTGCAAGCACTCGCTACTCACAACTTGCGAGTGCTTGCGAGTTGAAAGGCTCAGACAATTTGTACAAATATGAAGCAAATAATTCAGCTAAATGAAATAAAACACAATAGTTAAATGAAACCTAGTATGATAGATATTAACGTGTTTATAAACGACTGCCACATGGTGGGACATATTTTCTTTGAAAAAAGTTCGTAGATGGACGGACAGTCTTAGAAGCATTAACTATAACTGAGTCTATTTGAATCAAAACAAAGCTTTAAAAGCGAAACCGCAGTCAAAACGGTAAAAATGACACCAAAATGTGAATGAATGGACGAACAAATGCCATATTTAAATTTGGGACTATATATTCAAATATGGTCCAGTTGTAAGAATTGGCATTGAGTTCGCTGATGCTGTTTAACAATATAAATATTGAGTACTCGTCGACGTTGTCTTGTAGTTCCAGTAAGATTCGAGGATCAAATTAGGAGTAAAAACGTAATACTGTAAAGTGCAAAGTGACAAAATATAACTTACATTGTATATGCTGCTAGCATCTGTCTTGAATCGGGAACCATTACAAACTCACAGTTTCTCGCTCGATATAGTCAAGCGACTTGATGCGCTGAATCCAATTGAAGATAATATCGATTGAACCCCACGGAACAACGAAACACGAACATACTTTATTTATCACAAAAAAATTCAATTATACTAGTATCATATAATCGACAAATCCTGCCTATACTAATACAAGTATGGATTTTTTTGGCAGGTCTCATGCATGCATGGTCATTATGATATTAAAGAAAGACATCAGCCATGAAATATTTGTGGTGGCATAGTGTGCTTTGTTTGTGTTAGATCTGTGAATTGAAATATTTTAGAGTCTATAGTGGTTTTTGGCACGTGTCAGAAAATTTTCAGCTGATCATGTTTGGTTTTTTCCCTGTTAACTTGTGTTCTGTGTGGGTTTGAGCTGAGGACAAATTTACATAATTCAATTGCTAAGTTCGTCAATGCCCCATGCCGCGCAGTTTCTAAAAAAAAAACCTATTATAATCTGTGCTCAATGAATATATCAATGTTGCTTGAACTGTGTCAGGCTGAATTTTTCCCTAAACTCAAAAGGAAAAACTCTATTTAAAAATTGTGTCAATGTGTAACCGTGAGTAGTATCAGGAACTTTTTATCATGATGCGCATGAAAATATGTTATAAAACTACAAATACAAATATATTAATTTTTCAAACAACTGCATTATCTTGTCAAATTTTCTCAGCTATAGCCTGGCTATAGTATTGAAGAATATGCCAAAATTTGATTTCTTTTACTTGGTCAAGAAACCTAATTAACTACAACTGCATGGTTATGTGAGCATTTTTTTCTTCAAACACATAAGTTGTTATTATTGGCACTCACACAGACAGTTCAAGATTGAAGTTTATGTTCGTTTTGCCCTGAGTATGGTTCAATGGATATAAACATGGCTTTTTAAACGAGGAATTAGGATGTTTCAGAGAGATTAGAGTTTTGAGTAAGTTCTAGAAAATGTATATATAGCTATTGTATGTGATAAAATATTAAAGTCAATGTTCATGAATTTTGTGCATGCATGCATGCCCAGCTGTCACAATGTCACCAGTGAATACTGTCACCAGTGTCAAATTACACTAGACAATAATTATAAATAAATAAATGCTGCGTTTCCCCCATGAGACACAATTCACAACAGTAAATGCTGTAACGCTACAATTTGTGATATTTTGAAAAATTTGAAAGAAGAAAACGGCTTTTCAATTGCGAGGCGTCATGTCGCCAAATTTCTTCATACTTATGAAAGAACCGGAGAGCTTTGTAAACCAATCATGCCGAATCAGCGTCCTTTTAAAAAGCACAGTGATAAGATTGTGGAGTTTATCGACAGAAAGATGGAGGAAAATGATGAAACGACTTCCACTGATCTAGTAAAAATGATTTGGGAACATTTTCAATTGAAAATCTCTGAATCGACCGTATGCCGCACTCGCCATAGACTTGGATGGTTGTCAACTGGAACAAAATATTGTCAGCTTGTGAGAGAAGCAAATCGAGTCAAACGCCTACAGTTTTGTCAAGATTTAACAGCCACAAAGGAGGAATTTAATGATGTCATTTTTACAGATGAGAGCAGTATTGCCTTGGAGCGCCATTCCAAAATTACTTTTCACCGATGGTGGGAACCACCATGTCTAAAAGGCCGACCAAAACATCCGGTGAAAGTTCATGTCTGGGCTGGGATCTCAAGACGCGGCGTCAGCAAAATGGCTATATTCTCAGGCATCATGGATGCACCATTTTTTATTGAAGGCATCCTGCGGCCACATCTGTTACCCTTCATCAAGAATGTTTTCCCCAACAGTCACAGGTTCATGCAAGACAACGACCCAAAGCACACAAGTAACTTGGCTAAAACGTTTTATGAAACGGCAGGGATTAAGTGGTGGCCAACTCCACCTGAAAGCCCAGACTTGAATCCAATTGAACTCGTCTGGCACGAGCTAAAACACTATTTGCGGAAAACATGTAATTGATGGGATTAAGACTTTTTGGCAACCCGGATGACAAAAGACAAACACAATCGATACATTGACCACCTACAGAAAGTTGTTCCAAAAGTGATTGAAAGAGATGGACGTGCGTCTGGATATTAATTAAAAATAACAGTTAGAACTGACTGAAACTAAATTGACTTAAATTAAGACCGTTTATATGTACTGATATATTTGCTAGGATTTGCCATTGCCATGCATTATTCAAAAATGCATCCAATAGCTTCTTCATATTTTTCTATAATACATCGCTTTTTCCTAAAATCGCTGATGCAATGATTCGAAATAATATATTCGCCAATACGGTGCAGGCCTTGGATCAAACTATCTAAAACAGATAAACACATTTTTCTCTGTTTCAGATAGTTTGACAAAACCAACCAACCTATACGCATTCTTTCACTTGAATTACATCGTTACGCTTGTGTAATTGTATAACTACGCTTGTATAATAAATTCGAAATGTCCACGGACCGCTACAATGTTTTTGTCTCATCTTGAGTTCAAGATGTCACTTTATTAGGAGATTGTTCCATCTTATACTTTTATGTGCAGGTGTTAGGTGCAGGCAAAGGAACTGGATTACAATTGTCTAAAATATTGAACATTGTTCTGAATTTCTGTTCTTAGACTGATTCATACAGTGACGGATACAGTCTCATCACAACATAACCAAAAGCTATACTCGCAACATAACATAACATGCACAATTCACAACACACGATTATTAGTATTCTGGATGAAAATTTTTCATGTGATGATGTGAACACGTCATCATGCTTACTTTTTGTCCATTTATACAATTGTTTCTGTGGCTTAGCTAAAAGACATTGCCAAACAAACCCTGCCCTGTTAACCAAGACACGTCTTATTCAAGGCAAGGACTTTCAATGCATCTTTTATGTCAAGCTCGAGTCATATATAAATTTCCCAAGCTAAGCGCTTGAAAAAGACGCCAAAAATCAACAAATTTTCTGTTTTGTGTGAAAAACGCCAAGTTGGCAACTCTAACACGAGTTAATGACATGACACAACCAGTAATGACCTGATACAACAGCTATTGAGTGGCGACGTTAAGTTATTGAGATACTAATTCTATAGAAATTGAGAATAAAAATAGATTGTAGGCGCTACATGACAAGGTTGGTTTGCATATTTTGGTCATTCCACTACATTTTGTCACAAAGACACAATCTCCGTCCTAATTGTGCTTGCATTATTTATTAAATCTTTTACGTCTATAAGATGACTTGGAGAACTACAGTCGCGATTCTCCTTGGTTTTCTTTGAGATCGACAAGACGTATTCCATCGTGGAGACATGAAAACTGGAAGCATCGACCTCTGGAGCGGGGATGATTGCAGGTGCGTAAGTGCATGTGAAGAGCGGCAAAGAAGTGTTTGAAGCTGAAATCATCGAACAGAGCAACAGTCGGCCTGACCTAGATAACCACCTTGCCGATATCAAAGCTGCATCGAATAGTGGCATAACCGATCAACTGCAGTGGAAGGAAGCAACTCCTAGCAGCAAGCCATCAGTTGAATCTAAGAATTCCAAAACCTGTTTGCTGTTATTCAGCAAAGCAATCATATTTAATCATAGGATTCAAACATCCAATCAATTTTAGGAAAAATATGATTTTGGCAATGAGTATTAAAAACCCCAAATAATTTACATATGTCATGAATAATATACTCTTGACTGTCCAACCTCAGGAGGTCTCGTCAGTATACCACAATGCATTGCGGTTTTGGACCATTGTATACATATTATCAATTCGCCGGCGCAGCTCGCTCAGTGTTCGTTGGCTGTCGTTGTAAACACATCTCAGAAAATCTATCGTTTTAGAAAATGGCGCATATTTTTCGCTCCTGGTATTGGATTAAAGCTTCTCTTTTGGAAGCAGTGAGCACCTCATCTGATTTATGTTTGTTGGGTCCTCACAGCCTTTGTATCTAGCCCCTGATGGAGTAATGTGTGTTGAGCAGTGCCGTATTATTAATGTTAGTTTCAGCTGAGAAGCCATGCAATTTTTTTATCAACTGTGAATGGGGTTAAAGTTGCCGAGATGTTTACCGAATGATGCATTCTAGTTGTGTTTTTGAGGTGAGTTTTTCACAGTAAGAGGTTATATTGAAGTTGTAGATATTCGAGCGAACTTTGTAGAAACATCAAACATGTACAGCCTCAATAAATATAAGATTTATATCAAATTTGCTATGTTTTAATAGGGTATTATAAAATTGCCATATTTAATAAATGTAACTAACACCAGTTATATCGACTTCAGGAATAATATTCACTACAGAAACTTCAAATCGTGATAAAGATTTAAAATCATATAAACAAGTCTTGGAAGCCACTTTAAATTTTAATAGGGCACATATGTAGGGCTTTGTACAATCTTTTATACAGTAATGTATCTCCTGAAGTTATTCTGGCTATATATAAAACTGATTTGTTCTTGTATATCTTGTTTTAGTTCTTCGACTTTGATAACCCTGGCAAAGAGAATATTCAATACATGTAATATTTTGTGGGAATTTGATATTTTACCATCACCATCAAGTGATGGTCAAGAGTTGGATGCTGTACACCTGTACTCCACCACTAAATCAGTAAAAAGACAAGCACCATGTAATTGCTACCATCAACATATGAATCCTGTCTGCTTAGTAGATCTACCACCTCATTGAGAGTCAACAGATAAGATGATGAAGAGGTACATGTGATATTGATGAGACAGAGATTTTATACCCAGGTTTGAGGTGTATGTCTGTATGCCACCAGACAAATTAAACTAACAGACAACCATAAATGGTAAAATATATAACTCTGTGCAGCCACATACAGTTCTGGTACACGACGGTCACTGGTTATAAACAAAATAAAGCCACAAGTCAATTGATTTTGAAATTATTTTGTTGTTATAAGCAGCACTAATTAAACAGCATATTTTATTTATGAAATGTTGCACTATTTCCATTTAACCAAAATACATGGAATGTATAAGGCTAGAAGAACAGGAAACAGTGCTTTTTTAAACCTACTGTATAAAATATTATCTAGAGTCATAAAATATTAAAATTATTTATACCTATTCATATATTTACATGTTAACTTCTTAACTTATTTATTTTTTAAAATTATGATTTTACATTGTGGGTGCACCAGAACTTGGTTCCGGCCGGTTAGTTCCTGCCGGAACTCCGATTTTTCAGAGTTCCAGCCGGAACTAATAGAAAAAGCATGACCGGAACTGGAACTCTGTTGTTTTCAGAGAGATAGAATATCATACGTTTTTGTGTCAAACAAAAGTTCACAGTAGGAAGAAATTTGGACTACACAAGGAAAATGTACATGACGTTTAAAGTTTGTCAATCTTTTTATTCTCACATTTGCGAGTCCACCTTGATGACTTGAAGTGTCTGCCAGAACTTTTTTGCAGTTCCGGAAGGAACTTTAAAAATTGGTTCCGGTGCACCCCTATTTTACATATTACCACAGCATGGCTTAATGTCAATAATATATACTATGTAAAACTGATGAAATATGAATAAAGTTTAAAATATACCTTATTATTGCTTTATTGGGCAGTCTGTATTATGAATGAGATGCAATGAGTATTCTCCAAATGGCTTGCCAATTTTAATACACTTTCCAATGTGGGCAATGATTGAGCAATGTCTGCAGGTTCTGGTGTTTCAGTTCGCATTGTGATATCTTTTCTGTTGTCAATTACAAGCTCAGCCAAACTGTCACTTATAGACAAGCCAAAATATGATGAGATTCAGCCTCCTCCAAGGAAAAAATCTTTTTCTGTAGGAATTGTATACCCTTGACCTTTAAGTTTAATTGTACTGTTCTGAAATATATATCGGGTGTTGATGGAACACTGGCCATTTTATTATAGAGAGATATGAAGTGATTATGACTATGGGTTCACTCGTAGCATAATTTTGACAAGAATACAGCCTAATGCTAGTGAATGGAGTTCATAAGATGTCAATGACATATCCATGCAGCATCATTATTCCTGAAATTCAACAAAAATACACACTGGGAGGGGGTCTCTTAACCTTTCAAGCTGAAAGCATAGTGACCACACCCCCTCACCTGCCCAATAATTTCTAATAGCATCATGGGCAGATTTACTGGGGGGGGCCTTAAATCTCTCTAACCCCTCTTATAAAGTGTTCAACCCCAAAATTTTGCTTCACCGCTCCTATTTTGTGTGAAGGTCTTTAACCCTATTAATGCCCAACCCCTGCCAAAGCTTGCTCAGTGGTGTCGCTTACACCTCACTAGAAATTTTTCCACATATGAAAATCTGCCCTTGAACAGCATCTTGATGTTACTCGTATACCTGACTCCAGTGGCGGGAAATAGAGGGCGCGATCGCCCCCCCCCCCCGCTGGATGACATAAAAAATCACAGGTCTAGGTGCACTTGCTTGGGTATTACTACTGAAACATATACATGCTTAGCAGTATTCTCATTGGCAACATCACGAGATTAATTTCATAGCAAATCATAGAGGTACCTATTTATATTAATACAAACAAACAACATTGCTTTCTCCAGTATAAACTGTAAATATCAGTCTTAAACAAGCTATTGTCTCTTTAATAGTTCATCAATATAATAGAAAATGGATAAGAACATTTGATATAATGAAAGGGTACGAACTCATGTTCCTATCATAGTTAATAGAGGCAGTGGCGTAACGTTATATCAAGGGGCCCCCGGTTCAAAATTTTCGAAGGCCCCCCTAGTAGAAGTGCCAAAGGCACGAGTCGAGCGCCGTATATGCACGAGTTTTCTAGGGGGGCCAGGGCATGGTTGTTCGGAAAAATTTTTAATCTAGACTCTCTGAAATGCCATTTCCTGGACTTTGGGGAGAGATTTTACAGTATTCTGATGGTCATAAAACGACATTGTAACATATCAGAGGCCCTGGCCAATGTTTTTGCGCTATCGCCTAAGGGCCCCCATTTGGGTTGGGGGCCCCCGGGTTCACCCGGTCTGAGCCCATAGTAGTTACGCCACTGAATAGAGGACATGTTCCTATATATCAAAACTGAAAAATAACATGATTGCAGGCCATTGCATGATGAATTGAATATCATTGTGTTTTCGCGCCATTTCGCACAGTAACCAGAATGTCGCGTGTTTACGCATAGTTTGAATCTGGTTTGAATAAATCAAGCACCAAATACCCCATTTTGAAAAGCCATTAACTTCTCGGTTTGAGGGGTCGTTTTTGATTTCTCGGTATCATTTGAAAGAATAACTTCTCTTCTATGTACTGGTATGATTTTTTTCGACTTTTTCTATTTTAAACTATAGACGACCCCATCATATATTGAAGCCAATTTCCGTCCGTGTGCAGTGACCCGGAAAATAGGTCAAAACATATGCAAATTATTCGCCCCAAAAGTTCAAATAACCCAAATAAAATATTTATATAGTAAATTTCAATACCCAAGAACATATTTTTAATAAATACCTTTAAAACTTTCGTGATTTTCAGCGAGAAAAAATTCGATGAAAACTCCCAATTATTTCGTCGATCGCACGCGAAATTGACAATTGAGAAAAAAATCCGCCGCAATGCATCACGGTATAGTGACGATTCCTCCTCTGCTTCCTTGCCTAGTTCGAAAGCCTCGTATATCTTATGCGTTAAATATAAAATTTGATTAACTGTAGAATCACCTGGGCGATAACCTGACTGCATAGGATTTAAAAAACCTATATATATATATATATATATATATATATATATAT